GTTTATGTTTCATTGCCCACAATCACAAACTCTGTCTAAGCAGAGCAACAACCCCGTAGTATCATGATGGCTGTGGATTTCAAAGACACAGAGACAATAGAGTCAGAGCATCCTGATCTCAAATCTAAACTGCGAAAGCTTTGGTGTATTACATTTTGACCCCAATGAACTTAAAAAGAGGGAATAAAAACAAATTACAGTGTGTCCTGTACATAGGGATTACCCGATAAGGCACTAAAGCTCCTGTGAGAAACTCTTGGTTCGTGCTGGTTTTATGTTCATCTCTACACAAAGAAGTCTTGGCTGGTCTTGCCCTGCACATCTTGCAGTACCATCATTCTTAACAAATATGTGCTGTGGAAAAAAAAACCTACCCTGTGGCAGTGGTTACAATGAGCATCTACAAATATTTTGTGTTGCTAATTATCTGGTTTGCTTTTGTGGATACATTTTACTCTAAATACTTGGATCTAGTGTCTTTTTTTTCTATCCACAGTTGTAATATCAGACCTTCAGATTCAAATGCACACAAACTGTAGCTGGTACAATTAAGGTTTTTATGCACATTTCAATATCAGGCTTGTGGTAGCAAGGATAAAAAAATCCTAACATTGAAAATCTCAAGAAGTTCATGTATTATTTATCAAATTCTATCAAAGTCTTTAATTTAAGAATTTACATGTCATTAAATCATTGGGATGCATTTGTGATTCTGCTTTCTTATAAATAAGTAGCATTATAGCAGTAACAGATAGACCAACAGATAGCTTTTCTGTCACATCAGGCACATTTTGTTTACCATCTGGAAGACAGACTGGGATAAATTGTGTAAGGCCACTAAGGCTATCTTTGCACTGCAAACACAAATCAAAAAACGGAGCAGAAATTTTCTTTACATTGTAGAAGTTCAGAAAAAAAGTTTTCCAATGACTTAAAGACCCACTCTGATGAAAATCATGTTTTTCTTGTTGTTTACATGTCCATATGGCATTTTCTGTTGCTACAGGAAATATCATGAGAAAAATAAGTGCAAAATTGCATTTCTGAGTATTTATGATTTAAATTGCTGTTAATCTCTGGCAGACCCAAACAGCAGGTTCAGATACAGTGAGATTTCATACACAAATCCAAGCTCCGCCCACGAGCCCCACTATGCAGGCCAGACTCAGAGAAGTAGAGAGGACGATCGCAGAGCAAGTGTGTGCGTTAGGGGATTGCAATGCTCGCAAGAAAGCTAATTATGGTATTAACTTTCATAATGTCCCTAAAGACAATAGAGTCCAAGAGCTGAATAGCTCCTATGTTACCACTTCTACTACACCGGCAATGTAAGGCTGCAAGCTAGCATGAAGAGGAGTGTGCAGAGCAGTGCTGTCTCCGCCTACGACTCAGAGTCAAAATGTTGATGAGCTATTGGAGCTCTGCAGAAGAAAAAGCCCTTAAAGATGACAAAGGTAATGTGATTTTGGCTAAAAACTTCATAATCACAGTATAAAGACCACTGAGAACACTTTAAGTGGTAAAAGAAAAAAACGATCGGAGTGGGACTTTAAGCTCTCTCCATCCTAGGAGCAAGAAGACCATCCTGGATGCTGCAGACACATGGCATCTCAATGTGCCTGGACATCAACAGTAGATCAGGTAATGGATCAGCATAGTGTTGGTCAACTGTGGCCACAACTAATACATTTATTTTTATTTAAATCAATGCCTTAACATCTTGTAAAATGCATTCCTCAGCACCAACATCCTCAACATGACCTTGTCCAAACCCTGCTGAGATAGACAAGTCATAGGTCTGACTCATCCCTCCCTAAACGAGCACTGTAGTCCCAGACTCTCACCATGCATCATTCATGGAAGGCTAAAAGAAAAGATGCGGGACAAGGACAAACCAAAATGAACATCATTGAGAGTCAACTTTGACATCATAGAGACAAAAAGCACCAGACCCCAGAGCAAAAGCTCACCCATGAAGGTGCTGCTCGTCATAACAATGACCTCCACAGCAGACAAAGAAAGTGAAAATACTCAGTCAAAAAGGTCCAACAAAACCACTCACCCCTGCACATACTGCACTGAAGTATGTGGGTCCAAGATCACCCTTTCTTTGCCCACTTCAGGACCCACAAGGACCAAGAGAAAGGATAGTTTTTTCTGACTGGCAATGATGATGACTTTTAGATGAATCACAACTAAAAAAATGAGAGTAGATTAGACACACTTGTTTTGGAGCATCAAAAAATCTAGATCTGGTCTTTACTGGCTGAGTGAACAGGAGGTGCAGTAGCTGTAATAATTTTTTCTGCTCACATTATCCATGAGCCACTGACCACTTTGTTCTGAGATGATTAAATGATTAATAATTTAGACCTGCATAGCAAGATAGAGTTGCATAATCTAAAATGGCCAAAAGGAGTACAATTTGATAGCCTTAGCTGGGCACTGTCTTTTTCTAGATCCATTTTAAACTTTTTCTTTTTCAGATCTGGTCTTTCACTGTTTTTCTCCACACCAACAATATGAGTAAGATTTAAAAATGAAGTGTATCCTGTCAAATTAAGTTTTCTCTCTTTATGCAGATTAGAAATGGAGAATGTCCTCAGAAAAAAGCAGGGGTGTGGAGAAAAACACAAGGAGAATGAAACTCATACCTCCTCATTAGCTGATTCATAGGAAACATGATATTAGGTTCCATCTATTGTGGACTCTTGGAGTGTTTACAGCGCCTGATAAGTGGTCTTTCTGCTCTTCAAAGGCTAGCAGATGATGATAATGAAGAATTATTATTCATGAGCAGCGGAGGCTTTATGCTGTACTCATGTTTTAAAGGGTTTGATAAAGAGAGCTGCCACTTTTGGGCATAATGTTTAATCAGCTTAAGCCCTCGGTGTTAAAAAATACAGTTATTAATGGAGAGTAGATGCTTTATCAATGGGAGAAAAAAGCTCCTCTTTTTCTACCGCACACATTTGAAGCTGTTAGTCCACACTAGGCAGACAGTTTTGTTTTGGTTTGAACCTTCAGAAATGAAAGTCTGATAAATAACCTGAAGCGAATCTGTATTCAGAGTCAGAAAGTTATCATAAGGTTATCAGCATTTAGTTCCCATCTGTATTCATTTTCCGCACTTGTTCATAAATGTCAGGCTCAGATCTGGGGATGCAAAATGGTGCCCCAGAGTGCAACCTGTGCTGTTTTTTTGTTCTCCGTCACCGCTGTTTTGTTTTTCCCTTGTCTCTTTAACCCTCCTCCCACAACCATCCCTCACCCTGTTTGCATTAATGTTCCTGACATTTTTCTGCAGGACTCTCTGCAACCTCAGGGGGGAAAAAAGAAAAGATAAGGAGGAGATACAGCTCCATTGTTCCCTGACATGTGTCCTTTTGTGCCTCGGTGTAAGGGAGGCAGAGACAAAAACACCTGAACTTTTTGGCAGACTGTGGCGTGTCATGGTGAGATGCACTCCAATATCACGTTTGAACAAGCACGCGTGTTTCAATTGCGTGCTTCGCTTTAAACTCCCACCATTTTCTGAAGAACTCGGTTGTTTATGGGCAAATTTTCCTGAGTCCTTCCTGTCAAATTGCTTTGCCAAAACATTGGTATCAACATCATGAAGTGAAAATGGTACCCACACAAAGAATTGATTTCGTCACAGCGTCCTGAGATTTCAGATCCATTTATTTGTGAGGATGCTAAATTATCATCATAATAGCAGTCATTACTTGGTGCCAGTACACGCCTGCTTGGCTTGGTCTGGTAACATTCAGGAGCGTGCTCAGGGAATAATGAATGTTGTCACACTGGCAATTCATTTTGGCAATTCAGATCAGCCAAGAGACTGAATGGCAAAAAAAACAATATTATTCTTTTTAATTTCCTGTCAATTTAAGACTCCCAACATGTAAATATCAGGGAGGCTGTTTGTATTGCCGTCAATGAATAGTCCTTTTTGTTTGAGTGTTCTGTTGTATTGACACATTCGCTAGTTTGCATATGAAAATGATTCCCGTAGATGAGTCTCTGTTCCAGCAGCTGTACCTTTTATTTTGAGAGGCATGCACACGTTGACCTAAATCCACTGTGAGTTAAAACTATGTATGAGCTTTTCTAATTCCATGTCTTCAGCAGCCCTTTGACACCGGAGCTAATAGTGTCAGAGCACACACGACAAGACAGATATATCTAATAAGAACTTGCTTCAGTGAACCCAATTTTATTCATAATAAGCTGTAAAAAAAGGCACCTTTCTCCCAAATAGCGTGTTTAATTTTCAAGTAATACATGATTAAGGCGACACTAAGTGCCAGCTGATTATACCAATCTTCATGCTCATAATTTGATGATAAATTACCTTTTCAATTGCCTCAAACTGACAGGATGATCTCAATGATATTTGGGATATTTCACCAACTTATGATGAAACTGTAACTGATAAACACAGACAGAAAATTTGACACGTGAGCTTCTCTAATATTCCTTGTTGGAGAACAATACAGAAAAAGAAACAGTTTAGATTTGTTTTCCAAATTCAGACATTTATAAAAAAAATCAAAGCATCTCAGCGTCAGATCTGAATGAGAAACGTGCAGCTCTTCAACGGTTTTTCTCTTTTACTTCACTAATATTTACATCTGAACCTGCAGCTGGCCAGAGAAGAATGAATTAACCTGTGAATGAATCATCATTCAGCCTGAGCTGGAGCGCTCAGCCACAGTGGAATTTACATAAATCCCACAGTAATTTTGGAATAATTTAAATCTAAATAGCAAAGGGCTGAATAATCAACAAGTAATGAGAAGTAAAATTGGTCATCTGTTCGTATCTTTCACGATCAGCTTCATCAACAGGCATGGCTGCTCCCCATTCATTGCAAACAATCATCTTTAGAGGTCAGCCCTCCTTCTATGCGGTTAATTTTACCAAGAGGCATGAATGTTTCAGTTCATACTGTATTACTCATCACGCCTGAGACAGAAAGGCTAAATAGCCGCCCTATTCATTTATTCATGGGAGCCATCTCTTCCTTTGCAACCGTAAATGCAAATCCAGTCGAGATAAGGCTTCTAATTTTCATTTTGTTCAATGATCAGACTTCAAATGTCAATTTAGGGATCATCTGTTTTCATTATCAATGATACTGCGTCAGTAATTGGAAAAAGGTTTTTCTGCCAGCAGCACAGATTTTGCAGTTATTAAATGATTAAACAGTCAAAATGAACATACTCAGACTGAAAAAAGTCATTTAGTGGGTATTTTTGTATCATGTGGGCACCACTTTTTTTTCCAAACAGCACTTCTTCAACACAAGAATTACATTTATTCATAATCTGTCTCGAGCATCAAGCACAGCATTCATGAAACACAAGTCCTCAACCTGTTGCATGTCTGGCCTGTGGATGGCAAAAGCCATAAAGTGAGGGGGGAACAACAGAACTAAAAGTTGACTGATTGTAATTGTTTATTAAGTCATCGTGAAACAGTTCCTCAGTCTTTTCCCTCAACACATCCAGATGGTTCGGTCCATAAACTGTCAATATCTCAAAATAAGCCGTTGGCACAGCAAATTTTTCCAGGATAATCACAGACTTTCATGGCGGGCAAACCAAACAGAAAATGACATTAATATTAATCATTTGCAGAGAAAGTGCTGCTAATGAAATCCTCTCAAAAGACAGACGAGTGAACACAACTTCCTCGCTACAGTTTTTTTGGAATATTTACCGGTAAATACTGCTGTGTTGCTAGCAGCTTAGCTTGCTGATAAACTACACAAATTAAGCGGTTCAATGCGAAACATTTGAATTATTCAGCAGGAGTTTACTCTAGCTGAATTTTGTTTACTTGTCCTTTATTCATGCAATCCTTTTCAATGTTTTCTCAGCATCAGACCTCATGGCAAAAGTGACAGAATTATTTATTTGAGTGACTAATGTTGCCTTGAAATGGTGCACAAAAGGCTGATTACTGACTGCAAACACAATAATAAAAACATTTAGCTGTCATTTTCCTTTGCTTTTTTTTCTGCATTCATGGTATAATGTCACAAACACTCATGGAAATGTGAAAGAGAAATAAGAAAGTTCAAGTTAGTCGTAGACCTATGAGAGTTAATGTGTGAAGAGTGAATAGGAGCCAGTAAGATGGCGTCTGAACATAGCCTACGTAAATATAGAGCAAAGCTGTTACTTTATCACACCAGGGATTTCTGAGTAAGCACAACAGTATTTTATAGAGCAGTTCTGATAGAGTCAGCCTTTTATTTCATTACCAGTGAATCTAAACTCCTGTCAGACCAGAATCAAATCAGAACCAAAGAGCACACAGACAAACAAAATAATAAAACAAAATAAATGGTACTTTCCAAAGTTCTCAGCACACTGATGGGGAGAATATTAAAGAGAAAATCTGTCTACAGCGACTGAGAATATTTCCCAGGAAATGGACATCTCTCCTCTGTCAGAGAGCAGAGCCAAGACAACGCTCGCTGGCTGCCAAGCTCCAGCATCATCCCACTTCCCATTAGTCATGCTGGATGTGACTCTTCTGTGTTAGGTTTTCCCTTCATAAGCTCAATGACAGAGTGATTACATATTTCTACATGGCTGGCAGTGCACATTATTAGCATAAGCAGCACTGGTAAATGGCTTTCTGTAAGAAAGCAAACAGCATAGTGACTGCTGAACAAACACTGTGGGGCAAACAATCACTGCAGAGACGACAGCACTGGGCTTTTGACTAATACCACTCTGGTGATTTTTACACACGTTTACATATTACTGCTTCACTGTTGCAGACTGTGTTAAGTTTGCAGGGATGAAAAAATATGAACCAACTAACAGCATGTGATGTGTGTGTGTGCCTGCAGCTGTGATGCTTACTGATGCCCCAACAGTGCCACCTTTTGATCAAAGGTAAAGTCACCCTTTTTATGTTCCCTGAAACAAAAAACAGAGTGCACCTGTTTGACATCTGTTTCATTTGATGGTACAAATGAAGAAAAATAAAAACAACTATGATCCTTTTCCTGGTTTTCTGTAGACTCTAGCAAGAAAATACTTCTCAGCTGAATCCTTTCTGCTTGCATTTGGCTTTAAAATCCGAACACTGCCAAACACACTGGAGAGTCTCTCCTGGAGTTTATTAGCAAGGATCCCATCCCAGTACTTGCAAAGTAGGGAGCCCCCTGGCTTTAAAATCCTCTCAGCCAGATCAGTCAAAGTCAAACACATTGTGATAAGTTTCTCTTGGTCCATGTCTCGAAAACCACTGGCGTTGGGTGCCATGTCGCTAAGAATGACGTGAGCCTGACCGCCAGGGAGCAGATCCAGCAGTTTTGCATGTGTGGTAGGGTCTGTGACATCATGACAGGACAAGAAGTGGGCGCCGTCCAGAGGTGGGATATTGAGGAGATCAATGCCAATGACTGTACCTTGTGGAGATTCTGGATCTGAAAAGCATGAGGGGACATTTCTGTGGGACGTGAATGTGTTGACGTGCTACCGCCTTTATACTTGATTCATCAGAGGCTGGGACAGAGATGTGGTGACATAACACAAACCCACTAATGAGTAACCGTAAATGCATATCATGTGATATTATAATGAAACATTAGCTGAACAAATTCCTCAGGGGGTTCTGATCATGGATAAAAAAATCCTATATGATAATCTCAAATCATAAATACACTTTTGGAGACGTGTAATAAGAGTTTTTATAGAATTTTGTGCACATTCAAATAGTTTTTCCAAGGGTTTGCTCAGTGTACAAAAGAACTGGCTAAGACACCAGAAACAGACTAATCTAAATGACTTATTCCATCTACAACTACCCTCTTAAAGCCTCTTTGTGTAGTGTAGTTGTTTTGTTGTTTTTTTGTTTGTTTTGTTTGCTTTTTTTTAACCTGTTTTCCAGTACTATGCTTATTAATCATCTAGAATTTATGAAAACTGAAATTTTTTTTGTATTTGTTGTTTTTTTTAACCAGTTTTTTGTTTGTTTGTTTGACCTGTTTTCCATTACTATGCTATTAATCATCCAGAATTTATGAAAACTACCCACTTGTAGTGAAATAGTTTAGGGGCTTTAATTTTCTTATTAAACTCCAATAATTAAAAATAGCAATTTATTCCCACCAGTAAGAGCGAATAAAACCTATGTTTTACAAATCGTTCAAATTTTCAAAACATTTTAATTTTCACTACTATTTGATTATGTAGAAAATTTGCTTTTATTTGTTTATTCATTCATATCTTTATTATTTTTCTAATGATGACAGTAAAGTTAGAGCTCTCAAAACACTCGCAAATGTCAATTCTTTGTGGCTTTTCACTTTGGATTTATTATCATTTCTTAACTATCTATAAACTGCAGTTACACTACTGCAGTTTAATTCTAGTTAAAAATATAGCTATTTTTTTCTGTGTTATTCAAAGGTAACCTGAAATGTGCTATTACTTTCCCGAGAGATGACAGCATCTAAATGAACATTTTCTAATAACTCAGTAATATTGCAGGAACTTTAGGCAACAAGGTAACCTTCTGAAAAATAACACACTGTCACACAACTGGACCCCGAAGACCCAAATACTTTCTAACACCTGTAACACCTGCTTATCACAGCCTGCTGAGCTGCTCGATACACTTGCTGTAGTTTTACTCCACACTGCCTGGTGTTTCCACCATTTGCCCCTCCCTCCCCCATTGTGTGTGAACTCAGCTTCCTGTCTCACCTTCCCCGGCAGAGTTGACCCTCTCCACTGCCACTTGGCTCCAGGCTCCGGGTGCAGCTCCGCAGTCCACAACGCTGTATCCGGGACGTAAAAGACGAAACTTGTCATCTATCTCCAGCAGCTTGAAGGCGCTCCTGCAGCGGAAGTTCAGCCGGTGAGAAGCTTTGACATACGGGTCTTTGAGCTGCCGCTGGAGCCAGCGCTGCTCAGCGGGACTTTTACTCTTTAACTTCTTCATTAAACTCGATGAGGAGTGTAAAAACCGTCTTTGGAAAGACACTGACCACATTGTTTTGAATGTACACTCACGTGTACCTCAAAGCTACCGGCGCTTGCGTAGAAACTCAACTCGCCATTGGTCAGAGACCGCGTAACACCTACATATGTCCCCTTTTCCAACAAACCACGTCAACAGTTCCTATCTGGGGTTGTAATGTGATTTCTCTTTTTCAGTGTAGAGATTTATGTTATATTATTATATATTGATTTTTATGTAGATGCAACTTTTCATGCTTCATGCCTCACACATACAAGGACTTTTTAAAGTCTTTGTCTCATAACAATTTTTGTCATTTATTTATGTAAATTAAGTTTATTTATATTTTTCTTGGATCTTTCTTTTATCATTATTATTATTATTATTATTATTATTATGTCGTTGACGTCGTTGTTCTGTGCTGTTTTTATCATTTGTCGTATTGTTCTTTATCATTATTTTTCTAATCGAGAGGGATTATGGAAACTTTAATCTGTCCGTGTAATATCTGAGATCTATTTGCCATGATACAGTATGTTTTGCAGTTTTCTTATGATAGGCTACTTGCTTTCACTTACTAACCCCGTGAATCACTGCGGCGAGGTAATGTTACAAGCGAACACGTTTATATTGCGTTGACTAGACCTCTGGAGTTTCTAGAGGAGCTTATTTCAAAGTAACGCGCGTTAGCTGATATAAAAAACATGTGACGACACTGGTGGCATTATTTTTGGTTGCTCGGACCAATCCGTGCTTTTACGGATCTGCGCTCCATGTGACTTGCTCCCTTGCGTTTTACGCGGGACTGACTCAGCCGGCTCTCATGTACAGTAACTTGTATCTGTCTCTTAACAGTTTTAGGGTTTATTTGTTGGTTTGAATCATTCAAAAAGTATAAGCTGAACAGGCAGCTACTGTGACACCCAAACAGCAGTCACTACTGGAGGTTAAGGTGTTTGTTTGTTTTTTCTGATTCAGAAGTACAGACATATTCGCTCTCACACAGGTGACATGTTGAGCCCAAAGCTGCTGACCCTGGTGCTGGTGGTCCAGCCTGGCAAAGTGCTGCTTGGCATGAAGAAGAGAGGATTTGGAGCGGGGAAGTGGAACGGGTTCGGAGGTAAAGTCCAACCTGGTGAAAGCATTGAGGATGCTGCTAGGAGGTAAATATAGCCTTCAGCTCAACTCTGGAGTCACCCAAACCAGTAGACCAGAGTCACTGTAATTTTCATTGTCATGTTTGGCAAATAAAGACGCACTTTGCATACAATTCAATGATTTCTGATAGCATTAAAATGTAAATATATGAATTTAACACACTATAACAAGGGCAATAGAGGACAGAAAAAAACCTGACAAAGCAGCTGAAGATTTGAGCTCATGCTGTTTTGTGAGCTCCACAAAGTGCATGGAGTTGAGTGTGGACTTATTGTTTTGTGACCATCAATCATTGGCAGGAAGTTTGTTCTGAGGCAAAAGGAAGGAAGCTAAGAAGTAATCAGGCTCCATACCAAACTGTTTCTTCTGTCTATAAACTGTTAGGAGACTAACTGTTTCCTCGGCCTAACAAGAGACCTGTTTGACTACAGAATAGTGAAGAAAAGTGACTTTACTCATTCAGGTCACTCAAGTTTATTGTCTAGATATCATCACTTCACTGTATTTTTTTTGCCTTAAGTGCTTGTGTGAAGTGTACTGTGAGTTTATTTCTGATGTACACAATATCAAATATTAATGACACTTTTTTTCCCCGTAGAGAACTGCAAGAAGAAAGTGGCCTAACGGTGGATGAGCTGAGGAAGATTGGAAATATCAAATTTGAGTTTGTTGGAGAAACACAGCTGCTGGACGTCCATGTTTTTAGGGCTGATGATTATAATGGAGAACCGACAGAATCAGAGGGTAGGTCCTTCAATTTTCACAACAAGAATCAAAACCACTCAGTCCATATTGTCTTTATGAATATTATTTTAAAAACAAAGAATCCACAACGATCCCTTGAAAGATAACAGATTGAAACAGTCTTGTCACAACCTAAACACTTACAGTGTGTTGAAAAAGTATTAGTCCCCTTTCAGATTTCTGTTTTTGCTCTTTTTTTTGTTACACTTATATGTTTGAGATCATCAAACAAATTTAAATATTAGACAAAGATAACCAGAGTAAATACAGAATACATTTTTTCAATAACTGTCACATAGACTTTTGACCCACTCTTCTGTGCAGAATTGTTCTCATTCCGCCATATTGGAGGGTTTTCCATCATGAACGACCTGTTTAAGGTCATGCCACAGCATCTTAATGAGATTTGAGTCTGGACTTTGACTAGGCCACTCCAAAACCCTCATTTTGTTTCTTTTATAACCACTTAGAGGTATACTTGATGGTGTGCTTCGGATCATTGTGCTGCTGCATAACCAAAATGTGCTTGGGCTTAAAGGTTTTAAACTGATATCCGGACGTACTCCTTCAGGATTTTCTGGTAGAGAGGGGAATTCACAGTTCCATTAATTGTGGCAGGTGGTCCAGGTGCTGAAGCAGCAAAGAAGCCCCAGACCATCAAGATGAGATATGTTAGGCCCCACTCTTAGGCGGCCCTATGGGGCTAACAACTATCCTCAACTTTTGACCCTCCAAATTAACAAAACACCTTCAAAAGTTTAACACGTGATTTATTGTGACAAAATAACAAAATTGCAAACGAAACACAAAGCACCCACAACACAAGTGAGAGGCAGCAGGGCAACAGTTCCCCACCAAATGCCTCTCCAGACTGCAGGCAGCTCTGGGCTTTTAGACTCCCAGCACCAGGTGAGTCTGATTGGCACTCAAGTGATTTCACCTGGGCAGCTATGGAGAGACAAAAGGGGAAAAACACATGCAAAATAAACACACATCCGTAACAGATAAGATAAGATAAGACATTCCTTTAATAGTCCCATGAAAGGAAATTCCAGATTCCATCACACCACCACCACCACCACCAAGTTTGACTTTCTGTATGATGTTCATTTTCTGAAATGCTGTGTTAACTTTACTCAAAATGTGGTGGGATTTTCCACACACTTCAAAAAGTTCCACTTTTGTCTCGTCAGTCGACAGAGTATTTTCTCAAAAGTCTCGGGTCATCATCAAGATGTTTTTTTGGCAGATGTGAGACAGAAATTTGTGTTCTTTTGGCTCTGCAGTGGTTTTGGCTTTGAGGTTCTCCCATGGATACTATTTTTTACCCAGTCTCTTACTGTTGAGTTATGAACTCTGACCTTAACTGAGTCGGGTTAGACCTGCAGTGCTTTAGATGTTGTTCTGGGTTCTCCTTGATGAGTTCTCGATGGATAATAGCTCTCACTGTGGTTCTCTGGTGTCCCAAAGCCTTAGACATGGCTGTGTTTGTTGACTGATAGATGTTGATAACTTTGTTTCTCATGGCGTAGTTTCTTTTTTTGTTGTTGTTGAGATCTTTGAACCACTTTGTGTTTTCAGACGGCTTCTATTGAAGTGATTTCTTGATCCTACAGGTTTAGGAGTAACCAGGCCTAGGTGTGGCAAATGTGGTTAATCACAGTCAATTCATGATTCAACAAGGTGGGGCAATTTCTTTTTAACATAGGGCCAGTTTACACTCACCGGCCACTTTATTAGGTACACCATGCTAGTAACGGGTTGGACCCCCTTTTGCCTTCAGAACTGCCTCAATTCTTCGTGGCATAGATTCAACAAGGTGCTGGAAGCATTCCTCAGAGAGCTTGGTCCATATTGACATGATGGCATCACACAGTTGCCGCAGATTTGTCGGCTGCACATCCATGATGCGAATCTCCCGTTCCACCACATCCCAAAGATGCTCTATTGGATTGAGATCTGGTGACTGTGGAGGCCATTTGAGTACAGTAAACTCATTGTCATGTTCAAGAAACCAGTCTGAGATGATTCCAGCTTTATGACATGGCGCATTATCCTGCTGAAAGTAGCCATCAGAAGTTGGGTACATTGTGGTCATAAAGGGATGGACATGGTCAGCAACAATACTCAGGTAGGCTGTGGCGTTGCAACGATACTCAATTGGTACCAAGGGGCCCAAAGAGTGCCAAGAAAATATTCCCCACACCATGACACCACCACCACCAGCCTGAACCGTTGATACAAGGCAGGATGGATCCATGCTTTCATGTTGTTGACGCCAAATTCTGACCCTACCATCCGAATGTCGCAGCAGAAATCGAGACTCATCAGACCAGGCAACGTTTTTCCAATCTTCTATTGTCCAATTTCGATGAGCTTGTGCAAATTGTAGCCTCAGTTTCCTGTTCTTAGCTGAAAAGAGTGGCACCCAGCGTGGTCTTCTGCTGCTGTAGCCCATCTGCCTCAAAGTTTGACGTACTGTGTGTTCAGAGATGCTCTTCTGCCTACCTTGGTTGTAATGGGTGGTTATTTGAGTCACTGTTGCCTTTCTATCAGCTCGAACCAGTCTGGCCATTCTCCTCTGACCTCTGGCATCAACAAGGCATTTCCGCCCACAGAACTGCCGCTCACTGGATATTTTTTCTTTTTCGGACCATTCTCTGTAAACCCTAGAGATGGTTGTGCGTGAAAATCCCAGTAGATCAGCAGTTTCTCAAATACTCAGACCAGCCCTTCTGGCACCAACAACCATGCCACGTTCAAAGTCACTCAAATCACCTTTCTTCCCCATACTGATGCTCGGTTTGAACTGCAGGAGATTGTCTTGACCATGTCTACATGCCTAAATGCACTAAGTTGCCGCCATGTGATTGGCTGATTAGAAATTAAGTGTTAACGAGCAGTTGGACAGGTGTACCTAATAAAGTGGCCGGTGAGTGTAGTTTGGATAGCTTTTCCCCTTAATAAATGAAATCATCATTTACAAACTGCATTCTGTGTTTACTCTGGTTATCTGACTGACATTCAAATTTGATTGATGATCTGAAATATGTAAGTGTGACAAAAAAGCAGAAAGCAGAAGAAAGCTGTAAAGGCAGGACAAATGAGAGTATTTCAAATGGGAACAAACTGGTGAAAATCTGCAAATCTCTTCTAATAAAAAATGTTGATAAGATTTCAGGCAAAAGTGCAAAAAGGAAACAACAACAAGAAACCAGCTGCAGTGATCCGTGTTTCCTGTGAGTTGAGTGAAGTGTAACAGGGTGAAGCTTGAGGACACAGCAAAGCGAAAGAGGAGTTAGAAATCAGTATGCACTGGAATCTGAAGGGCAAGACAAGTCAGACAGAGATTTAAAAGAAGAAAAGAGACTTGAATGAAATGAATTAAATGAGTGAAAAAAGAGGGAGTGCAGAGCTCTTTACATGGTTTGACAAGATAAAGAGCAACAGCTGAAAATAAGAGACTACTATGAATTTACAGTGTAAGATTTCTGAAGCATTTGAACCTTTTCCCACTGTCTTTGTTTGTATAACAGAAACATAAGTCGCCCTCTAACATTACTTGAATAGTTTTAGCAGCTTTACTAAGACCTCAGGGGCGCTTGTTAGGATCAGTCCTTCATAAAAGAAAACGGAACAAACCCAAGGACTTAGTCCTGTGCTCTCTGAAATCTTCAGTTTCAGGCAAAGTTTAAATGAGGCTCCCTCAGTGCTCATATTTCAATACACATTTTTCAGCATCCTTTACTTTCATTTCTTTTCCTTTAGCAGAGCTCAGCTGGGACACATAAAAAGATGTTCATATTAAATTATTCTGTTGGACAACTACATGATTTAGTATTTTTTATTACTGTTCAACTTTTTAAAAAAAGCCTTGAAGAGATAAAACTCTTGTTGTACCCGAATTAAACACACTCTCAGTCATCATCAGCGTCACATCCCTTCATCGACCAATCAAGATTAAGAAGAGGCAGGACCTCTGACACCTTCCTTTTTCTCTTAGCCAGAGGTGCCAAACTCAATCACAAAGCCAATATTTAATACCGTCTAAGCTGCAGGCCAAACAGAATTAACATTTATTGAATCGTCTGCAACTGACTGTGTTAGATCACAAAAACAAATTTGAAGAACCAGACCCCCCTCAACAGTCACAGCAGGACAAATGAGAGTATTTCAAATGGGAACAAACTGGTGAAAATCTGCAAATCCTTCTAATAAAAAATGTTGATAAGATTTCAGGCAAAAGTGCAAAAACAAACAACAACAACAAAATTCACAGCTATTTTAGTTCTGTCTCTTTTTTCATCTCTCTGAGAAGATACTTGGCATCTTTTATTGGCTGCAAGTTCATTAAAGTTTGAGGCTCTAACTTTGGAAGCTCTCAGGATGGAGTGGAGGTGTGCATCAATGAGATGATTTCTGCGTTTGGTTTATGTTTGTTTCCCTCACAGAAAAAAGTCACTTACATACAGTAGGTCTGTACAACCAAACATGCAGTGCATTCGAGCAGCCTGTAGGCGGAGTGGGGGCTTCATGTCAGGGATGAGGTGGGGGAACTGTGCGGGCCCTACAGAGTCATACTGTACCTCGAGTTACACTGGAGTTCTGTCTGCTCCATCAGTATGTTTACAGGACCTTTCTCCACATCAGCTGCAAATGGATTTCTTAGCAGTTTAAAATTAAATTTCTGTGCTTCAAAGTTGGCAAAGCGCCGTGTGAATTCAGTGCTAAGTGTCCTCAGTTTAGCAAAATGAGCAGCTGGAAACAGTGATGGAGACCTGGTTTGGTTTTCTTCGGAAACATGGAAAATGACTCAAGTTCCCTTACTGCATCTCCCACAGGTGCAGCTTGACCTGAAAAGCTCTCACTACCTCAAACATGTCTAGAATCAACATTTTGCCTCGCAGTGCCACCTTATGTTATTCTGAAAGTCCCTGTTTCAGGGACTACTTTGCGATTGGCCTTTTATTTGGAGGGATAACTTAGATGTCACTGTAACAGTGCTGGACAACTTTCCGTGTCGTTACAGCAGCAGGAGGAGAGGTTGATGCACAGATCTTGACCTGTTTGACAGCTGTTGCAGTGCATTGTGGGACTTGTTGTATGAGTGGTAGGAGTGCTTTTTATGAGCTGAGCAATAAGAAATTATCTCATGGACTATATATGATTATATCCCGGGCTGGACCTGGCCCACAGGCTCAGGTTTTGGCGTGCCTGATTTAAACAAACAGCTACCAAGGAAAGAAAGTGCTGCATGCAATATGATTTAATTTAATACAAGCCCCAAATTAACAAAAGAGGTGATGACCTCATTGATTCTTGATTCCCCTATGATCATCTCTAAATTGAATATAAACCATAAACATCTGCTGATTATTTTCTTGTGTGTTTTTCAGAAATGCGGCCTCAGTGGTTCAAATGCGACAAAATCCCGTTCAGTGAGATGTGGGCCGATGACATCCTGTGGTTCCCGCTGCTGCTCCAGAACAAGAAATTTGTCGGTTACTTTAAGTTTCAGGGTCACGATGTGATCCTGAGCCACACACTGGAAGAAGTGGACGAACTCTGAGCTGGTATCTGAGAAACGGAGTGCCGGCTGTTCTTGACAAGTGGGACCAAAAACAGGAATTTAAGCCTGTAAGGATTTGTTCTTTGAAGGTATCCCAGTGTTCAGAGTCTGTTGTCAGAGGAAACAGACTCATAGTAGTAGTGTGTGGGATAAAGTGGCCACTGTAATAAAGTTTCAGACTGCCTCCATATTTGTATCAATGAGGCATAGATTTGCTGTACATGGTATGGCTGATCTAGTGTAAACCTTTCTTTGAAGTTATGGCAGGCTTGTTCTAGCATCCTTAAAGGTTATGACAATCCAACCGTCCCATTTAAATGTATTTTCTATTGAGTGAACACCAACTTATAACACTGAATAGACACAATTTGATCCCACACACTAGACCTGAAAAACAACCATGTTAGCTTTGTGGTGGCAAAATCAAAAGGTAATATTTCTGTTACATTTAATGACTTTAAAAATGTTGTTTTCTAAACACAGTTCACAAATATGAAAAAAAAAAAAATCAAAGCAGTGATATCAGAAAAAAATATCCATAATGTGATTTTATTTTTTAGAATAACTGAATCATCACAACTCAAGATTTTATTTACAGTATCTACAGAAATACACTTATTGGGTCTCCTTTCCTGTGCAAGTCTACATCATTATCACTGTATGCTGAGATTGAGTTTCTTTCTTCATAAAATAAATGTTCAACTTTCTGTAGAAAAAAAGAAAAAAAAAAGTCTGTGTTCTTGCATCATTCAGCACGGTCAGTTTGGTGTGTTTGGGATGAGATCAGAAGTGACGAGTTTTTAAAGCATGAGCCTTTAAACGGCAAATTGTCCCTTTCAGGTTTTTAAAGTAAAGAGGCAATGTATGATAATAAAATGTGCACAGACACTAGTTTGTAGTAAAACAAATCAATTTTTTTTTGTTGAATTTGATCGATTGAAAATTCTAAAATCTTGAAGAGAAAAGTAGTGATTATTCAATTTCAGCTCAGTTGAAACCCTGTCCTATTTCTTTGTTGGGTTTTAAGGTGAATTTCTATATTTTGTCTTTGGCAGTAAATAATTAGCTTATAGTGTTGACATAAAACAGCTGATTCTAGAGGCTGTCGTTTGAAAAAACCTCAAATATCTGCCCTTTGTAGTATTTTCCACTTTGATACAGGCTTTTATAAAATAGCTTATAAGATAAAAACCAGAACCAGAAGTCTGAAGTCTGAAGCAGAAGAAGCAAATACTGTATGTTGCCCTGCATTAAAGGTACACTGTATAAAGTGAGAGGAAAAGTGTCCATAAAAAAAATGTAAAACGTGCTGCTTCACATCCTCATTAACTAACATCCGTATCAAAAATACATCGATGTAAAATTATTCAGTAAGAAAAACCAGAAACTTTTAGGAATGGAGATTTAAAATAATCTTATTCTATACACAAAACAACTTCCAATCCCTCACTATTTTTATCAATGATCTATGAGAACTATAAAAAGTTAAAGTTAGAAACAGGTGTTGATGAGCTGGAATACAAGAATATACTTTCATCCTTCCACACCGACATGCCGGCTGGTCCCTTGTAAGATAACATACAGGATGAATAGCATACATCCTTGATTTGAGAATGGACATTATTTCCTGATCTGACTGAGCACGTAATGTTAGATTTATGAGTCCATTATTTTATCCAGGCACATAGTTGATGATTGCAATCTGAAACAATTCAAGAAAATAAGACTCATTTTTACAAAATCCTCTCGCTGAATGGAGTGTTTGATGGTTATAAGACAACTTGGTAGAAGATAAAAAGTTGTGCAGTCTTCATTTCTCTGCGGGGAGTTGTCAGGTCATGATCCCTGTTACTGACTGTTTCCCGTCTTTAATCTTCAGTATTTCGCTTTTATAAGGTGGGCTTCAGACCATTATTACCCCCAAAGAGACACCCCAGCTTCGGCTGGAGTTCACTCCAAACCTCGCCCATCTGAAAAGAAATTAAATAAGTCAGTTTGGTACATCTTTGTAAAGCTCAGACAACAAATTTCATAGTATAGTATTGTCTTATTGGTTGGAACTTTAAATGGCTATTTATATCAGGTTTGATATTTCAGGAGCAGCATAAGAAACAGGAAAATGATTCTCCGACTAGCAGCCTCACCTCTCTGTGTCCTTGGACCTGGGAGTTTACAAAAGCACCCAGGATGTGGGATGTGATTGGAAGGTAGATGAAGATAAGTTGTGTCTCCTGATGCAGGCAGAACAGGGAGAAGTAGTTCCTCAGCTCCATGGTCTGGATGGCGTTTTCTTGCTGTGATAGAAAAATAAATTGTCATTATGCAGGTAAATGAAATGACCTTGACTTAACAGGCATGGTGAAATTACGGCCATATTACATTATTTCTATTACTCTGTCTTCTAGTGTCTCTTTTTTTGTATATATGCCCACTGGACAGCCTGTATTTCAGTAGTTATGACATGCATAGTCCCATGAGGATGAATTTGAGTTTGCCTCGTCATACCATGACTTTTACCTTAAACCAAGTTTAGGTTTTTTAATTAAGTAAAAAAATGGTTTGGCATTAACTATCATGCTCACTGTTGTGGTTCCCATTGCTGGCTCAGGCAGATGAAAAGATGGAAATCCCCAGCCCACGTTAAACTATGAGTTTGTATGCTAACACGCTAGACTAAGCCTTAATAGTTAACACATCCATTAGCGTGTTATTAGTTTCACAACGGCCGAGTCAGAATGCAAATATAAGTGATAACAGAGCTGCACGTTCTTGCTGGAGTATTTTTACATAGAAATAACATTAAACTTGGAATTTGACATAATAAATATAGTAATTCAGAGACAACATTTTAGAAAAACATCAATCAACTAACATTTATAAGTAAAATTCTTCCACATATATTGCTTATTCTGACAGCACATCCGATATGGAAGTCTATTATACCTATGCCTTCCTATTTAACACTGGGTTGTGTTAAATACTTAATTCTGTTGGTCTAAACCATAGACTATATATAGAATGGACGCTGACTGCCTCATTACTGGGTGAAGCCACCACGAGAACAGCACAGTCTGGTGATGGGCTGCAGTATAGGTCATAAATCCCGCCTCCTCCAGCAATCTCTATGGACTTGTGAACAAATTTTAGAAATTTATTACACAGAATATACAATTTTCTACCCCTGCTTGCGTTGTTGACACGTAGTTAAAGTAAAACTGGTTTGTGCTCAAGTCCTCTTTTTTTCTGTGCAGCTCCATTATTAAAAGTTATTAGGGGGTTTATATTTCGTATGATTGACACTTGATACAGCCTATGGGCTAACGCTGTATGAGTCATGCGTCATCACAGCGACTCTCGGCGACTCTCCCGCCGAATGCGTACAATGCTACAGCGCAATATTAGTTTTAGGAAATACAGAGAGCAATTTGGCCTCAAATTCGTATACTGGCGGAAGGCGGAATCAAGTTGTCCGTAGTATATACAATCTATGGTCTAAACCCTTTGAAAATGGTTATTAACTCTAGATAGCTGTATATAGCCTCTTTAGGACAATGGGATACTTAGAGTCAGCTTGTTAGTAGATGTAGTTTGTGGTTAGCTGATAAGCAGGATAATGTCTAGCTTACTGCTGGAGTTTACATTATTTTTTACATATACCTGCTAAAATAATTATCTGAACTCCAGAGAAATGAAGGAAGTCAGAGTCACAGTGACCTAACAAAGCAGTGGTTCCCACAGTAACTGAAAGTACAGCGGTTGGATACATGCCAGATATTATTAGAAGGAATAGTCTTGACATTTTTAACCACGATGCCAAACACAGACAGCCCACACTAGCTACGAGGAACTTCAGTCACAAGACAGAAACTAGCTGTGATTCAGTGTTTCGGTGGAATGATATTTGGTGTAATTGTTATGAATGCCAACTTGATGCTTTTTGATTTGGCTCATTTAAGCCAAAAGCTGTGACTAATGGAGTTTTATTGTTGTATCTGCTCGTCTACAGTAAATACTCCACTGTAATTTGGTTCTTTTGGATCATTTAGAGAATAAAACATTTATTAATACATCAGAAAACTGAGCTGAATTGTATATTTTGATGTTTGTTAATGCAATTAACAGAGAGTTGGGCAAGTTGAACTCAATATATTCCTAAAAGGAGCAGTTCAGCAGTCTTTTCTAACAGTTTTTCAATCATCTATCAAACATTAATTTCTCTAAGTCCAGTTGTAGCCCGACAGTCTTCCTTATGAAAAAAGAGAAACAGAAACAGATCGACCACCTGAACTATTCGTGACTCCAGCTGCTCCACAGATGCCTGCTCTTTGGGCTGCACCGTGGCGCTCATCATCTGCCTCTTCATCATGCCGTATTTGTGCAGAGCTCTCTGGTGCTCGTGGAGCACGCCTTTCTCATGACGCTCACACAGATCCTGGGAAAAAAATAAAATAACAGTCACATGGAGCTGCCTCAGACCAGCCTCTAAATAATAACAAGCAGAACAGCGGTATTACACGGCTGCCAGGGATGTAGAGACATATCTTTATACAAATGATTAAATTAGCATTTATATGAGGGTTAACAGATTGAGTTAAAGCTGTGGAAATACTGCTGTATTATCCCATAAATTCTCATATTTAATATTCAAGACCCACACATTAATGAGAACATTAAGTCCAAAAGAAAAACCCTGATTATCACTCTTCACTCAACTTGACTTTATTAAGAATACAAACCTCTCTATGTGTTTCTGGCTCAGGACAAATGTGTCTGAATGAGCCATTTTATCTGTATCATTTTTGGGGTTTTGTTTTGTTACTCGCACAATCACCACAAGGGGCGCTTCAGGTGAATGGAAAGGTAAATGCGACAAAGGGACACAGGTGAAGTAGTGATTTGGGGAATGGGAAGAGCACACAGTTTTACCGCTAATCTCTGACACCACTCTCACCCTCATCATGCACATCACCATCATTATTTGACTTTTTTTGTTCGTTTTTTATTAAATCAGTAAATGGCAAAATGATAACTCAACAACAACCTCGGATTGGACATTGGATTCCACCAGAAGTTAGTCACTACAGTGTCTATAATGGGATTTATGGTTTAAAATCAGTTAGAATGAAATTAAAATGAGCATTTTTTACTTGAAACATGCAAACATCAGTGCAGAGTCACCTGCAGTTTAAGGTGGTCTCAGGTTGAATGAATTTACTTACTCTATACGATTGAAGCAAATCCAGGAAAACATTCAGTTTTTCCACAACATCATCCTCTTCCCGTCTGCCCTGAGGATGTTAGCAAAACAGAATTTATTACAAGTTCTGGTCACAGCCAGGCAGAGAGTGCAGGTTGTGCAGGTGGAGGACTTTGGGCTGTACCTGCTGAGCAGCTTTGTCAGACAGCACCGCAAACTCCACAGACAGACTCTTCAGAGACTTACGCAGGGCCCCCCAGGTACTTTGTGAGGATGCAAAAGTGGGAAGAGATGAAGAGTCTGAACCCAGTGTACTGCAAAATAATAAAAAACAAAAGCATTATTGTTACAGTGGCAGAATGAAACTTTATGTCTGAGATGCACAAACTCACTTTAGGCCAACAATCATGAAAAAAGGTGCACAGGAATGTTATTAACATTTGATTTGGAGTCCAGGACCTCTGGATACGGGAAAAAGACTTTATAATGAAATACCTGAGCTCTCTGCCAAACATGAGAAGATCAGTGGCATTCTCCTTCGAGCGCTCAGCCATTTTCTCGGCTCTGTCACGCAGTTTGTTGAAGCTGTTGTGGATGTTTCTGATCAGCTCTCTGCTCGTGGAGAACTGAGATTGAATATCAGCCGGGAGATACTCCTGTAAACATACCAAACACGGGTCTTTGAATTTTTTCAGTCTTTGTTCCTTTGTTATCATTGAAAGGAGTGCACGTCAGATTTTCTCCCTTGTCCTCTATATGACAAACCTTTGCTAGGGTTGCAATTCTGTTGGTCATGAACTCATCGCCTGTTTTCTTGTAAGTGTCACGGAGTTTAGTCTGAACATCCTGTGTGGGGAGAGGGAAGAGGAAAAAGACCCTGAGAGGTTAGAACAGGATGAGATTCATTCAGTCACGATAATGGTAACACTTATTGCGCAACAGTTACAGGACGCAAACAGGAGTAAGTATAAAGAGACAACATACAGAGCCACTGAAAGTGAGGAAGGTCTTGACTAGCTCGTCCTCAGAGAAGAAGGGATGCCGCGCTACCAAGTTGATGAATCTGCTGAGAGCACGTCTCCGACCCTCGATGAACTCCCTCTCAGAGACGGAGGTCAAGACTGTGGAGAGATCAAAAAAATAAGTTACAGAGTTCAATCTGTGAATAGGAAAGAAATGCACTGTGAGAGCACATTCACATGTTTCATATAGACAGAGACATAAAAGAAAACATCCAAGTCTTTTGGCTGGTGGGCTGAGACACCAAGCTGAGACATGGACAGACTGTATATGAAGATGGATAATATAACCCCTCTCCTAAAGTGAAGTTAAGACTACATTTACACGTGCCCAGCTATCATTATAAATGGACATTTCACCCTCTCCATTTACCAAAAAAAAAACAGTGTGCACAGCACTACATTTTCAGAAAAGTTTCGTTTACACTAACCCGTGTATATATATGCCGTTAAGAACATGCCAAACCTGTAGGTGGCAGTGTAGCAAGAAGCTCAAGCCCACGTTAGCCAATCAGAATCCCGCAGAGCAGCAACAACGTTACTTCCTTCTTTACGGCTACCCAAAGCTCTGTTTTTCTCTATTTAAATCCAAACGTGCAAACTGAGTTTTCCAAAATCTCCACTTTGTCCGGAGTTTTTGAAAAGCATCATTTTCAGGGGCGAATTCTCCGGTTGCGCCTAAACAGAGGGTGAAAACAATGGTTGATGTCTCTGTTTTTAAAACTAATCTAGTACGTATAAACGGGGCCTAAATCAACCAGAGACAAACAAATGTTGCCACCTGCAGAAGCATATCCGCACAACAGGTGTTTTGCTGTATCAGTTAACTGCAAGCTAGCAATCCAAAAGTTACTTCATGGGGTCCCTCAAGGTGCAGCTCTAGGTCCAACACTATTTTCAATTAACATGTTAGAAATATAACCTCAACTTTCATTTCTAGGCCAATGACACACAACGTTACCTCCTCATCAGAACTGGTGACCAACAAAACATCACAATTCTTCACAAATGTCTTGCAGGGATAAAATTATGGATTACATACAAATTTATGAGGGTTTATGAAACCGAATCAGTTTTACAATAGAATAATCATGTTTACAGCCTGAAACAAAGAAACGTCTTTAGTCTTTAGAGCTATTCTTTTTATCTGTGACAACTGCACTGGGGCGAATTGTTGCTATGACAGATTTATTTAGCCTATCTGTTACTTTTTTACACATTCTTGATAAGGACTGCTAATTGAGTCTAATCCCACGTTTTGCACAGATTCCTCAGCATCTATATGTGTGTGTGTGTGTGTGTGTGTGTGTGTGTGTGTGTGTTTGTGTGTGTGTGTGTGTGTGTGTGTGTGTGTGTGTGTGTGTGTGTGTGTGTGTGTGTGTGAGCGCGTTGGCATGATTATCATTCCACAGCGACAATCAGTCATTGAGAGCTGAAATAGGCTCATTTAACGCATCACCAGTTTCCGTGTTTCTTTCAGGCAATCGCTTTGATGAAGGGTAATGATGGAGTTTGAAAGAAACAGAACCTGCAGGAATAAGAGTTCAGATTAAGCTGAACACTTCTTTTCTGTTCTTCTTTACAAACTTCATCGACCAAAAACTACTCAGCTCTTCGAGCCGCTGGATATTTAACATAACTTTTGAGTGAAGCATCCGAACAAAGGAAAGGCTTCAGAAACAACGAGTCTAAAACGAAGGAGATGTAGAAACAAAAGAATCACGAGGGTGACTGTGTCTAAGTTGAAGCTCAGACAGGGTAACATACCTCCCTTTAACATTCTTTTAGGGGGCAGCGCTGGCACCACTCTGTAGGCAAATCTCTGAAGCAAAACCTCGTGGAAGACATCAAAGTCACTGTAGCGTCTGTACACTGATATCTTGTATCGCTATAACAAAAAGAAAAAGAAAAAAATCAGCAGATGTTAGCACCATAACATCATTCTCCATCTATATCCTCATGTGTATCTCAAACTTCCAGCTTTATTTGTTCTTGTCGAGGTTTTCTGAATCTGTCGTTTCTATGCAGCAGTTTGGAGATGCCTTGCCTGGCTGGTGACCTGGTACTCCACATGTTTCAGAAACAGGCCCTTCTTCTCAGGTATAAGCTCCACCTGGACTGTGTCTCTGGCCAGCAGCTTGTCCAGTGTCTGAAATACAGTCAGTGCGTCCTCCTGCGCCGGCTGCATCCTTAGTGCGCTTAAATCCCTCGGCTCTCCAAGCTGAGGTTTTGGCAACTCTGCGAGACACACAACCAGCACTGACTTCTAATATTTGTTTTTTTAAGGATTGTTATCAATAACTCTAGAAAGTCGTGAATTTCTAAGCACGTAGAATGTTTGCGTTAGATGTACTTTTCCTCTTTGAGTAGATAACTACGTGTGTTGCTCTTTGTCTCTAGCTGGCACTGGGTTTCGCCAAGGGCTCATGTGATCTTTTATTCTTGCAGTGCATTGCATTCCAAGAAGGTCATGAAATGTATGAATGTAACGCACTGCCAGGAATACAGAAAACTTGTTCTTGCACAGATGAGGAAGTGGCATGCAGCTAGCTACCACGCTGGCCACACCTGAAATAACAGAGAGAGCCTTAAATCATCACAGAAGGTTGGGAATGGATGTAACTTGTGCCAGTATAATGGCTACCTCTCTGAAAACCAGAGAATTCCACTCTATCATCTTCCCACTGCGGGACCTGAGAACGAACACAATACTTAGACACTGCTGCGGCCTCTCTGCCAAATTAAATACAAGAATGAAGCTGAATTTGATTTCATATGAAAGACTCACAAGCTAATGTTCTTTGTCAAAATACATTTCTCATAAATATTCCCAAATACCCCTCTTGTACTTTGAACTATTTCAATGTTATGCAACATATCTAACTGAAAGCAACAGGAGGATGTATCAGTGCAATGAACTGTCAGAGGAAATACATAAGGAGTGAGCCTATAAAAGAGTGACATTTGCCCCGCAGCAGATAATATATCTGAGCGGAAGAGGGATGACTGAGAGGACACACACAGCAACTGTCAAGCTATTCATTAAGCAAAACCTTTTACTGTTCTTCTGTCAGTGTGCCACTGTTACCTACCTTGTATGCAGTTCTCCAGGAGTTTGGGGCTGGGCTGCTTTCCCTTCTGAGCGAAGGCAATCAAAGCGAGCGCTTTATAGAGAGACAACTTGCTCAGGTATCCGTCTGTGCAGTCAACATGCTCAGCAATCTGAGGAAGACAAAGATAATCTGACATGAAGTATGTCTAAATTCACCTGTGGTTCTACATTCCTCCTGACCGCACACAAAGGTCAGGAAAATAAAATTGAATATGAGTGACATGATGACGAAATAGCTTACATGTCAGCAGTAACATAACAGTCATCTCACAAAAAAAAAAAAAAAAATACAACCACGTCTTAAACAGTCTGCTAGCCTTCACAATAATTGCACCAACTTTCTAATAAGACATTTTACTAATGTCTATATATTTGATATGGAACATAATTGCATAGAAAGCCTTTAATGACATTGCAAATTACACAATCAGATATGTTCTAGCTGCAAAAACAAGAGAAACATTTGCCTCATACCCACATGCACGCAGTCATACACACCAGCACATCTGTTACTGTTATGTAAAAATTAGTGTAGTATTTATTGTCAATGAGCTTTTGGGTATTATTGCACATTAAATGTTATTGCTCCATTATGACTATTGCATATGACATATTATTGCATGTATTAGCCAACAGTATCTGATGGCAACATGCAGATGGTGGATGACTCAGAAAAATGATAATAATGAGTTTGTTTAGGCTTCTGATTAACAATGCACAAAATGTGTTTTTCTGTTTATTTTTTGATTTGAGAATGAATGAGGGATGGCGGAGATTAAATGAGATTAGATGAAATGATCTGCTTTGTCACTTCAACCATGAAATTAGTTGTTTCAAACTAGTATTGCAGCCACAAATGCACTTTTTTTGCCAGACATGGCATTGTGATGATTTGCCCCCCACAGTCCAGGAAAGTGTGAGCCCCTCACCTGGCCTAAAACCGCCTTGGAGAGATCAGTCCTTTGGAGCAACCGCTGAAAAACTTCAACCTGCACTCTGTCATCTGTCCTACAGCAGATGGCCTCATATACTTCCCTGTAATAGGCAGGAACTGAGCCTAAAAGAGGAATAACACCTATGTAGCATCACAACCACCAAGGATTGCAAAATATAGTCAGCAGCAGCATGTTTCTGATCATTATTGGCCTTACGATTGGACATTATAATGAATCAGTGGCATTGACTGCAGGGGTTATGATGATTTTATCAGCGTTTATGATCACAGTTTATTTCCCATCACATGACTATATTATGCCAACACAGATTGATAAGTGGGCATCCAGAAGGCGAGGGAGAAATCGAAATTCAACACATAATCAACCTAATCATCGTTTTAAATTAGGGACTGAGAGCTACAATTATGATAAAAAGTCATTTCAAACCATGTGTGCCGATGGCTCCCAGAGTACAACACGACGCACAAGTGGCACTTTTTCACGTGGCAGGAAAAACACATCACAAACTCTATGATCATTTTACACCCCTGACCTTTTTCTTATTGTGATATTAACTGTTAATGAAGCTCATCGGAAGTGAGGTAAACATTAACAAGTGGATCGAAGAGCGATAAATCACTCTTGGCTGGTTTTCAGATGGACTGACTTCGGTCCGAGATCTTCATGTACCCAAAAGTTCTCATTGGTCAGTTCTCATCGCGACTTCACCAAACAGATTTACCCTCATTTAAATACAACCCGCACAACATGTTTTACCTTACCTGACTCTACAGCACTATTACAAACAGCAAAGTTACAAAGAAACCAGATGGCAACATTGTGATGAGAAGTTTTCGTACTGTACCTTCATTGATCTCTCCTGCCATGATGCAGTCTGTCATGTGAGCGCAAGAGCACCTCCATGTGATTTCCTGCAGAAAAGAAAAAACAAGTAATTTATTTCTTAAAGTTGTAGTGAGCCTTGGTTAAAGTCCAAGTGTGGCGTGGAGTCGTGTAAAACAGGACTGACAAGAGCGAAGCAAATGAGTGTGTCATACCCAGCAGTAAACAGCAGTTATATGTGTGTTATAAAGTTAAAAGGACGCACTGGTGCTTGCGTTTGTGTCCAACCTTCTCTAAACTAACCTAAATAAAAATCAGCGGCTGCGCAAATGCACTTTTCCTCAAATTGTCTAGGGCACGGTGCCTCTATGGATCGATTAATTTCCTGGTTTCACATGACATGTGCAAGTTCATTTTCTTTGACTTGATGCTCCTCATTCTTCATGTGAACAAACTATTGATGCCTTCAGGTACCGCTCGGAAGTTTGAGATTCTTCATGGTTGTTAAGCGTCAAGCGTACTTGTGCTTTTAATGTTTAAGTTGCCTCTTCGGAATTTATAGATTTCGACCTGAAGAAATTCAGTCATCTTAATTTCAAACGCCACAAAAAAGATGCAGATTTACAACCAGTGAGTAAAGTACGACGGATTATTCGGGCCACATTAAGAAAAAAAATGACTTCTAGATTAAAATCGTTAATTTACGAGAACAAAATAATTACTTACGAGATCAAAGTCGAACCGAAATACTTATTTACGAGAATTAGGTCATAATAAAGTAATAACTTACAAGAATAAAGTCGTACTTAAATCATTATTTACAAGATTGAAGTCGTAATAAAGTAATTACTTACAAGAATAAGTCTTATTGCTAAAATCATTACTTATGAGAATGCAGCCGTAACAAAGTAATTATTTACGAGAATAAAGTCGTACTACTATCATTATCTACGAGAATAAAGTCGTAATAAAGATATTTCTTACGAGAATAAATTCGTAATGAAGTAATTACTTTGCTAGGAGAATAAAGTCATTTTAAAATCGTGATGATGCTGATAATAATGTGGTGTTGATGTGCCAAAAGATTAAATACCTTTTTTTTTTTTTTTTTGAGAAACATAGATTGAAGTACTTTTTCACGAAATGCTCCATGGATCTCATTTCAACAACTTTCATCTGAAAAGTAGCTTTACAAAAGGACTTCTGACTTTGATTAATTCACTATGCCTTTATTCTCGTAAGAAATGATTTTATTGGAACTTTATCCTCGTAGGTAATGATTTTATTACCATATTATTCTTGTTAGTAATGACTTTATTCTCATAAATTAATCTCAAAGTATTTTTTTTTCTTAATGCAGCCCTAATACCCTGTCGCAGTAAAGCCACTCAATCGAATAATATTTTGTTTTGGTTTTCCCTGTTTTTTTCAATACCACGGGAATCCCCCATAGTCTTACCGCAAGTTTGCCTCCAGATGGCGCTGCTGGGTAACTCTTATTTTCCGGAGGGCTAAAACAGGGCTAATGTGCGGGCCGGGCCGGGTGAGTTGCCAGCTCTGTGAGTGTCGTGAACAGTCGCCTTGTTAGCCCTGGTCTCCCCTGCATCAGTGGCTTGGATGGAGGTTGTTATTCGGCGGTGCTTATTTGAGCAGTCGCACTGGAAGAGGACTGGAAGGGGAGATGAACTAAAGGATTAATATCTGAAGAAAACAGGATGTAGCAAAACCGCAGAGCAGAATGTCAAGTGGAACAAAAGAGACTTCTTGTTGTTCCGCGTCTCTTCGCTCGACTCTCAGTGAACACAATTAACTAGCAGCTAACCCGGCTAACGCTAGCCGAGTTAACTCCAGCTAACATTGCAGGTATGTCTACATTGACGGTTTACTTTGAACAGAAAATTTGAATGGATTTGAGCTCCATTGCGTGTACTGTTTATATCACACTTTGGAGGCTACCCCGTCGGAGTGAATGTTTACTTTCAGTTTACTGGTAAACAGCTAACTAGCTCCGCTAAGCTGATTTCCGCCGGGTGTTGGAGCTACTAGTTAATGTTAGTGAGCTTCTTGCAGCACTAATGTTTGGCAGGTAAGGGATCTGTTTTCCTGGCTGATTTTGAACTTACAAATACTGAATGAAAATTAAGTATAAACAGTTACAAAATGGTGCATTTATGATCATTGGTGTGAGTAATGAAACATGGAGATTTATGATCGAGTTGTATGTTTAAATAGAGGTAGCCTGATAAGTCTGTTACACAAGCTTGATGAGCCACACCGCTTCTGTTTTTGTCTCCCACCACATACACAGACACAGTCTCTGAAGTAGGTCCTCTTCTGTGTTTCCAGTTTGAAGCATCTTTGCTGGTTTGTTCGCGGAGTGGATCTCATTGACATTGACTCGCTATGGCAGCGGTGGTGAGCTACTCTCCACCATGGTGGGTGAATCTCCTGCACAGACTTCCACATTTCAACCTGAAGTTCGAGCAAACAAGCAGTGATTTCCAGCCAGAGGACTGGACATATCAGCAGGTAAAAACCCACCTCCTTTCTATTAAAATCACCCCCTCAGACAGCCTACATAATCTCTAAAGAGTGTTTACAACAAAAATGGTATATAACCTGAGTTAGGCATCTGCCATTCAGCAAGTTTGTTCTGTGTTTAGTACTCATTGTGTCTTCAATAATGATTGATTTGAGATGTTTCAGTGACAGATGACTTGTGTGCACCTGTTCACTCTCTTCACCTTTCGATCTATGTCACCATCTGTGTGCAGCCATTACACCAATGTCTTGACCTTTTCCAGACACTAGCCAGATGGCACGGCGTTGTGCGATCTAAGCCGTCCAAGTTGGCCCAACCACATTTGCTTATATGGTTACTATCAAAGCGTATCTTTACTATTTGTTAGTAGTTTTAACACACTTCTTGATTGATTAAAGTCACTTAGTGTTTCTGGACATTAAATGGGAAGGTCACCAACAAGTTTGTAGGTCATGGCTCAGTGATTGTGATTGTTTTTTTTCATTTGTTGATCACCCATAAAGGCTGTGATCAATGAAATTAAAGATTGCTTTAGAGGTAATCTGTGAAAACAACTGATTCAAATCTAAGTTTTTTTTATATTGTTGTGTGAATAAAGCGTAATCAAATGTACAAACAGCAGACATGACCTTCAGACATTAATGGTTGTCTTTGGTTTATTTCTAAGTGAGTTATGTGACGGCTCCTCTATTTTGAATACATGGTTTTAATAAAAAAAATACTGTGTCTTTATTAAACTCTGAGAATCTTGTTATTGATTGAGTTTCAGAGACAATTGAAGACATAAAATGTCACAAGAGATTGAGGGTAAACTGTGTGCGTATGTGAAAAAAGGGCAGACATCAGTCACAAGACAACAATGTATCCTCTTTAACTGTAGAGGGATGAAAGAGCAAGAAAGAGCAGAAGTGAATCATCGCTCCTGTGAAAGAGGAAGAGATGTTCAGACATGCAGCGTCTTCTGTGGCGAGTGTAACAAAAAGAGAAAAATGAAGGAGTTAAACCAAACTCCAACTTTTACCGTAAGAGGAACTCCAGGAATGTCCCTTTTTTAAAAGCAAATAAGCTTTTACTGGTATGAGGCAGTAGCTGACATTAATAAATAACTAGCCTCATCTAGAAAACGTCTTCTTCATTGTTTCCATCTCCTCTTCCAGTGGCTGTCACCCATCTAAAAACTGTTTTTTAAGCTGACAGATAATAATGAGAAAAGGAAGAGAGCATTAACACCAGATGCCAGTAAAAGAGGTGTGAGAGAAAACTACAGAGACTTCTCCAGCTGTGAGGAAGTCTTATCTTTAAAGGTTTGCAGAGCAACATGAGTGTTAAAGAGACAGGTATTCAGCAGTTTGAGTACATTTACTCAGTCAAAGAGAACCAAAAGAGGTCACTGGCTTGCTGAAGTATAACTGATGGCCCACTGTGATGACAGGCTGCTAATTTCCAGTGCTCTCACTCTGCCTTCAGGGGAAGTCTTCACTCGTGCAGATGGCCGAGCTTTGAGTGGTGCTTTGTGATGCTAGTACTGCGCCATATCATTGAATGTCTTTGAGCTGTTTAACTGAGCAGATCAGCATACAGGACCGGTGTCATTCAGCGGTATTAGTGTTTGGTTATCCTGTCTGTCCTTTGTTCTTACCACTTAAAAGGATTTGGGCACAGGAATAGTCAGATGAAACTGTGTTGTCTGGGCTTTGAGCCTTTGATTGTCAAGAAATTGAGTTCATGGGCAGCCGTGATGGTCAACAACCGCAGCATCAGGGTGTGTACACTATTGGGATGTAGTGTGGAGAACAGCTAACAAATGGATGAGCTCTGCGTGGGTTTCTAATGAAACAAAAGTGGCAGGATGAAATTTTCAGAGTAGAGTGAAGTTTACAGGAAACACTGGGGCTCTCTGTCTGACCTACATAAGACATGCTACTGTAGGATGAGAGATGTCTCTTAGATAGTGTGCTAAAACTTAAGTACCAACCTCTAAACAAAGCCTGCACACTGTATTTGTTTTTACATGGGGGTAGATTAAACCATATAACTATTAAGTTTTTTATTTCCCTTTTAAACTTTGGTCCTTTATCAACCTCTTATCACAGAGCACAGTCTACCCACTGAGGCGTAAAACTTGCTTTCACTTTCACTCAGGATGAGGATCTATTTGTGGTAAACAGTTTAACTTATGTTCAAGCCTCCAACAGACATTAATCAACATAATAAAATTATAACCTGTAGTACAAAAGTCAATTGACTTGAGGTCTAGTGCTTAGCATCAACCTTATTATGCTATACTTGCACTTTGCTTACATTGTGATGCATTTTAAAAGGGCTCTTTAAGGTCCATTATCTCCACTGTTATTGATGTCTAAGTGGTATCAGCACTAAAGTTTCCATGATTCTGTCCCTCTGTCCATCAGTCCATCCTGTTACTGGGAGGTTTGGCTCTGGCCTGTCTGGCCCTGGACCTCCTGTTCCTGCTCTTCTATTCCATCTGTCTGTGCTGTCGGCGGAACAAAAACGAGGAGCAGCCCAACGCTGACTGCTGCTGCACGGCCTGGTGTGTCATCATTGCGACACTTGTCTGCAGGTGAGTGTTTCACAGGGTCAGTGTGGTGATTATTAAGTCCCTGTCTTTGTATCCCTCAACATAATAACCTGTCTGTTTCATTTTTGTATTTTTTGTTCTGAAAAGTTGGTCTAAATTACATCAGATGAATCAAACATTTGATGATTAACGTGTTAAACCTCTTAAAGTTAAGCACACTTCAAGGAAGCAACTGTTTAGCAAAAACACCAACCAAAATACTATGGGTAGGAGAAAGAATCGATACAGCATAGTATTGCAATATTTTGTCTGGTGATATATCGTATCGTCTCATATTTTAGTATCGATTTTTCAAATGTATTGCTAACATGAAGTCAAATCTATGATTAAGTAAAAATAAAATCAACTGTTTCCCTAGCGAGGTTGGCATAAGTGACATCATAGAGCAGGAGAAAGTTAGTATGACAAATATATATATATGTATATATATATATATGTATATATATATATATATATATATATATATATATATATGGTTTGCAAGATGTGCTACAGGAAAATGAAATACAGCATAAATAATACAAACATAAAAGAAAGACAAGTGCTAAATTAGCTAAACAGTTGAAAAAATTGTATAAATCGCAATATATTGTATCGCAATACACGCTATATTGCAAAATGTTAAAAATTGTGATTACATCGTATTGTGGCCCAAGTATCGTGATAATACCATACTGTGCCCCAAGTGATGATAATATCATATTATGGCCCAAGTATTGTGATAATATTGTATCCTGGCCCAAGTATCGTAATAATATCGTATCGTGGCCCAAGTATCGTGATAATATCGTATCGTGGCCCAAGTATTGTGATAATATCATATCGTGGCCCAAGTATTGTGATAATATCATATCGTGGCCCAAGTATTGTGATAATATCATATCGTGGCCCAAGTATTGTGATAATATCGTGGCCCAAGTATTGTGGGAATATCGTATTGGGGCCAAGTATCGTGATAATATCGTGGCCCAAGTATCATGATAATATCATATTGTATCATGATAATATTGTATCGTGGGGCCACCAGTAATTCCAACCCCTACAAAATACCTGCACTGACAGCAGCATAATTTATAGTTTCTGCTATTTGTATTTACTTGGATCACGGTGATGTATTTGTGAAACTGCATGGAGGAATCACAGATATCCTGAGAAGCCCTCCACACACTAGCCCCACTTTATGCGTTTTGTTCCTTTGATGTTAACAGTGACATCCATACCATCTGGACCTGCTTTGTTTCCTTGAACGCTGAGTTTGTTTCCTGTTTTCTTCCGTCTGTTGATGGGCCACCAGAGAGCCATCACAGTTGATTCAGAGTAGCACAAAAAGCCGGGAGACCTGATGAGTACAAGAACTGCATTACAATCACTGCATTTGTGTGTGTGTGTTTGTACCCATGCACAACTGCGTAGAGATCAAACATGTCTGCGCTTTGTTTTGCTCTGCTTTTGTTCTTTGGGAAATGATGCCAAGCACAGACTCTATCAAAACACTGCACTGCTGTTGACAATACTGGGATTATCCCAATTTTTTTTTCTGTGTTTCCGCCGTTCTTTGTAAATGTTGTTTTACACTGAAGAGAGAACAGTGCAGATTTTCCACAGGTTCACATCACAGCAGGGAGGTCGGTTTTGTTTCTGCACTGACTCTGGCCCTTTTCACCTTTTTCACACCTCAGGGCTTGAGCGGAAGAGATTAGCAGCCCTCTGAGAAGACGGGAAAACCCATTTATTCACTGAGTGCTGTTGGCCGAACGCTGTTCGACTTGGTCTGACTTAGCTCGGAGTGATTCACTTATCATGATCCTATTTGATGAAATCTGCTCTGGCATGGGATCAGGGTTATCAAAAAGGCCAACAGCTGCAGCACAGGAAGAGATAGCAACTCTTGCTTCAAATTGCTCTTCAGGGCTCAGAGAGAAAGTTAATTTGCGTCACTGAAAAAAAATAACAAACAAAACAACATTACTATCCATAACTTGTATGTTTTACAAGAAGGGATTCTGAAAATATTTTTTGCGTTGATGAACAGTCTGGAAGTGTTTCTTAAGTAGTTGCTAGGACTGTTTTTCTGCAACCTGAGGCCTGTCTGTGCAAATGAGAGCCCATCTCCTGCCTCAGTACAGCCTTTGTGAGCCGTGCTGTGGGGTTTGAAGCATAGCTGGTCCATTCCTCTGTGTTTCCATGGTTCTGTATGGAGTCTTTCTGCTGGAGCTGAAAGGAGCCCGTTGACTGGGCTCTGAACCGACAGGGTTAAAGGAGAGTTCACACGCCTCTCTCCCCGCCTGGCTCTCCCCCTCGCTCGCTCGCTCTCTTCTCTGTCTCCTCTCTGTGTCTCTTTTAGCTAATCCCTCCTCCTCGACACCCTGTCTCCCCTCCCTTCCTTTTGTCTCCCCTCAGCGCTGGCATTGCTGTCGGTTTCTATGGGAACGGTGAGACTTGTGATGGAGTGAACCGGGTGACGTATTCTCTGCGCCATGCAAACCGCACAATCACTGGGGTGCAGAAGCTGGTAAGACTGAGAGCACAAATGATGCCAACTCGTTTAATAATTCATCTCCCTTCTGCCATGAGCATCCGTGGTTTCCTCCTACAGCCACAGCCTCGCCCTCATAATACCCCCACTTATGTATGTGTGTGCTCTTTCCAGGTATATGACAGTACATCCTCATTGAACCAGACTGTAGATGACGATCTGCAACAGCTTGAGGGCCAGTACGCACAGCACGCCGACTACCTGTCCATCATCCAAAAGCTGCAGGGCCAGCTGGATGAGCTGGTCAGGCAGATGGTGGAGATTCCCTTCTGGGACAATACAAACATCTCCCTGGAGGAGCTGGCTGTCAAAATAGAGCTGTATGACTGGTACAGGTAAGACCCAAACCTGCACATGAAGCTGGAGGTGCAGAGGTCAAAGTATCAATAATTTTATCACAACAACGCACTAAAAGCTCGTCTTGTGAATGTGTGGTAGCAGATGCAGCAGTGGAGAGAAACACTCGGGCGTCACAGGCAACAATGAGCGCAATTCCTTTGCTGCTGTCTTCATTGAATTTTAATGCAGACACTCCTTCAGATGTTCCCTTCTGTGTCAGGATTTTGGCGTCACTAACTCATCTCCGAGCTTCTATACAGTCTTACAGTTTAAAGTTACACGGGCTCCTCCCTGGTGAGGCTGTGAAATACAGTTTGAAATGTTTGAGAAGTGAAATCACTGTAAATCAGATGCAAGCAGGAAAAAAAAGAGCAATGAGGAAGTTTTACTTGTTCAGCATACAAAGAGTTGCAAACAGGAATTTATTCGTCAAGTCAGCTGAAAAATATCGGAAATTTCGGTCATCCTCTTTTGCTAAACTGAGTTTTCTTCAGGGGAATGCTTGAAACCACAAATAGACAAGTGACGTGTTCATTTAGTGCCACAAATAAACACAAACTGTTATCAGTAGGTGAAAACACAGGAAGGATTTAACTCACTAGGCTTGTGAACCAAAATTCTCAGTGGCTGAAGTTGATTCTTTTCTTATATCATGTCATTTTATTGAAATGTAAAAGGAGTTTTCACTGATGAGAAATGAAATCATCACAAGCTTTGCTCAGCTGTGCCGTTTCATTGAAGGGGTGTCATGGTTTCAGGATTTGGATACGAAATTTACAATCTGTCAAATTGAGCTCATAGTTTCAAAAAGCCCAAGGAAAACCAGGGCAGACATTCTGCAGCTGCTCTTTTTAAGGACATCAGGACCACCATCTGAGTGCAAAATGATAGAAAAACTCTTTTTTTTTTCATGTCTTCCCCTTGTGTTAGAAGATAGTGTACGAGTGTACCACACAGATGCAAGTTACAACAAAAGGAGAATTTGTTCTGCATCATTTGATATCATGATTTCAATCGACTTGTCCTCTTTATTTTTTGAGATTAGGAACATAGCCTTCATGGACTGTGCATTTGCGCTCTTCCCCCTGCTCAGTGGTGCGCCGTGCTGCTTCAGGCCACGGGTTTGTTAATGACATTTGTCTTCACAGGTGGCTGGGCTACATAGGCCTGCTTCTGTTCGATGTCCTCATCTGCCTCCTGGTGCTGTTTGGCCTCATTCGCAACTCCAAGGGAACACTCATCGGGTGAGTCTCAGCGCGTCAACCTCGGCCACAAAGGGAAACATGAGTGTGAACTGGGAGTTCATTTCAGCTGTTTCAGCAGCTGCACATGAAGCCTTTAACTAATTAGAATAACCTCAACATATTTATTCACAGCGAGCTACATTTATTTAAAAATAAGCCCAACACGTACAGTTACTAATGCGCTTCATACACATAAATCTAAAGGTTTGCTTAGCCTCTTTAAGCAGGAGTCTGTTAATAATCAAAAGAGCAGCTGTTTGCATTTCCTAAGCACTAAAAATAATGAGGTAAATATAATGAAAGTCACAGTTAGTCTTTTTTCTCTTAGTTTTTACCTTGATTTCAGATTTTAAAAGACTATTGCAGGTATCACATCACATCTATTTGAGTGTAAATATGAGTCCATTTGTAGACCATCCTGAGTATGTACATTATTCATACACTGTTTTGAGGTGAGATTTGATTTGTTTTGATGCATTTGGCATAAGTTAAGAAAAACAGTGCAAGGAGGAAACGAAGACTGGAGGGCTTCCATGAAGTTCCCCTCCCATCATTTAAGAATTACATGAAACTCAAGATAAACAATAAGAAGTACAACACAGAAAAATTCAAGATCAACAATAAAATGTAAAGTGCAACGTAGAAAAACTATAAAACATGAACAACAAAAGAAAGGAAGATGGATGCATAATTAACTTAAGGAAAATAACACTGAAGGTTATGATGTGGTGTTTTTTCAGTAACTTTCTAAAGGATGTGAAAGATGATGTTGACCTCAGACACACATTTAGAGTTTTGGACCTCGAAATGTGATACTAAATTGATACCCAGATGTTTGACAGAAGGGTAAATGAAGATTGCCACAATGGCTAATTGAATATGAATGAGGGTCAGATGAAAAAGTAAAAAGATTTGAGTTTCATTCACAAAATGAAGCAGAAAACAGTTTCACGTTGTAACGGACAAACTTATCCCCTTCTCCTCCTCCTCTTTGTGAATGGTAGCAGTAAATACGAATGCTGTTGCTCCTAAACTGCAGTGTGTAAAGGTTCTTCTCACCTCTCCCTGCTCTCCCCAGCGTTTGCTTGTTCGGTGTCGTGGCTTTGGTGATCAGCTGGGTCTCCCTGGGGCTGGAGTTGGCCGTCTCTGCAGTAAGTGTCTCCCATCAGAGCATGATCCTGTTTTCCAGGTAGAGCGGCACCGTTCATTATGTATAATTGGATAACACGGTTTTCTGCTCCCACAGCCAAGAATGCAGGTTTTGGCTCCTGAGTTTTTTTCCCAACTAGTTCCTTTTTCTTTGCCATAAATCGGCCTGTTGATGAAATATTAAAGGGTGACAAGAAATATAAAAAACACATTGTCCATACCGGACCTCACCTGTCTCAGAGCTACAGTGGCTTCGCTGAGATTTGCAGTGCTATGACTCATAATCACGACAAACTAATTAAGAAAAGCATGGCAGCCTTAATATAGAGGGCCTTGGTTCACAGCAGTTAATCTGTCTGTTTTAGGAGGACAATAACGACTTTATTGATTGGCTCGTGTTATTGCTTTTGGCTGAGATGAAGTCAGCCTGTCTCGTTGTAGCGGGGGTTTAAAAACTCTTGATTAATCGCTCGCATCTGTTGTGTTTGTGCAGGTGTGTTCGACTCCCATTAAGACTGTGATTTGTGTTCCTCCTTCTTTTCTTCTTGTTATTCTAGACCTCCAGTGACTTCTGTGTGGCCCCTGATATGTATGTCACCAAAGTGGTCAACCAGTACGCAGTCATCGATCAAGGTATGTCATATACGCCCAGCATCATTCGATTATTCAGGGGGGACGAGTTGTTTTATATTCACTCACACAGCTCTTGAAATCGGTGGATATTCGTCATCTCAAATCACAGTGGGCATGTTAGCCTGAAATGGGTGTCCCCTCTGCGCTCTGATTATTGCGCAGCAGTGAGAGAGCATTGTTCTGTGGAGCAGACTTGTTCTCTCGCCCGTGGTCTATAAAGCACATGAAAATTACAGCCACATCTGCAGCAGGGTCAAGAGGCCAATGGGCTGCCTTTTTAAGCAGTACAGAAGCCTCTCTAGCATGTCTCATTTTCGTAATTGCCCAATCTGTCCCATGATGGGAGGGAGTGTTTCTTTTTCTTTGTGTTTGAGAGAGAGAGAGTGCAGCATTGTGAGGCAGAGTGTGTGAGGAAGATAAGAGCGGTGGAGAGGAGGATCAAGGACTCCGTGTGTTTCCTTCATCCCTCTTCAGTTCTTGGGAAAAAGAGGAGATAGTGCTTTAAAAATAAAAGCACAGAGAACTCCCCGCCTACTTGATGTGCTTTTTTTTTTCTCCCCAACATCCTCTTTTAAGCTGTATTTTCTTTCCTGCTCTGCTGTCTTTCATATGGTCATGGCTGAACATAAAAAAAAACGAGCTTTTGGTTAGTCAGACAGAGCATCAGCTGTAAATGTTGTGATTTCCTCTGAAGCATGAGAACCAGCATACTTAAAGCTCTACACTGCAGCTGTAGAGTCTGCGTTTGCCTCAAGGCTTATTCACTCAGGGGGAGGGGGTTCAGTTCTATTTTCTCCTCTTGAACACATGTTCACTATCAGCTGTTTAAAGAAGAAGGCTTTAGTCTGTCTGTTGAATATAACAAGCTTTTGGGGTTGTAACAGCAGATTAATATAAAAACCCTCTCCTTCACATTAAGGGGAAGTAATCTCCAAATATGGGCACGGGAAGGGAGTGTCTTTCTTAGTTGTTGTGTTCTTAGAAAGGCTGTCAGGAGTTTTGAGCAAATTTTTGAAATGTTCTCACTCTTACACCGACACCTTTTCATGACCTACAGAGTGAAATGGGATTCATACTGACATTTTGTCCATGTATTCAAGTCAGTCAATATAAGACTGTCATCCAGTGGTGCCTATGTGGTTATTGTTATTTATTCTCATTCTTCTGCTTTCTCTCTATCACACCGAACTGACAGATATATGATCGTAGCAGGTTTTTAAAGGGATATTCCGGCGTAAAATTAAGTTTTGGTCAAACACACGATAACACTGAATTAGACACTCCCTCAAGAGATGAATGTTGCCGACCACTTGCTTCTCGTGTTATACCAACTTTAATAACGACAGCGCAAACCTCAACCAAAAAGCCACTCTATAGCCACAAATAATGCTGAGAACAGCACCTAACTTCATCAACAGTACATACAGGGTCCCAGCCATAGTACTAGCCACCGAACATCTTTTTAGCTTTGCCTAATTTCTTTAGCAAAGAGACCAAACACAACTCACCCACTCTCCTCCAGCAGCGGCTTTTTTGTGGGGGAGCCCTGACGAGCCGATCACCGAGTGCAGCGGAGTTTCGCAGCCCAAGGAAGTACATTTATGATTATTACTTCAACGAAATGCAATCAGACCAAGATGCTAAGGCAGAAGAATGGAGATGATCTGCTGCACTTGGTGATCGAGTCGTCCGGGGCTTCCGGTCCTGCGATCGTTACTAAAGTTGGTGTAACTAGAGAAGCAAGCAGCCGGCAACATTCATCTCTCAAGGGGGTATCTAACTCGGTGTTACAGTGTGTTTGACCCTTACTGAATTTTCTCGGAATATCCCTTTTAATGTTATTCAGATGGTTACCTGGTAAAAATAAGAGCAGGAGTGATGGAGATGAGTTACCTCTATGAGAAAACAGTCAGTTGTTCTGAACCTGAATGTTTCTGTCAGTTATTCAGACAAGTTTGTTTCCAGATGGTTAAACACATGCTTGTTCAGTTTGGTGCTCCAGTAGGTTCTCATGCCTAGAATACATAAAACAGCTCAATAAAAGTATCATGCCAAAACAGGAAGCTTGACTGGAGCCCAAGGAATTGAAGCCAGACTTGTTTTGACCCTTTTTCCAAATACTTTGGCCTGGTGGGATTTACTGCGGCCATAACGCCGCCATGCACATAACGTATTCTTCTATATTCTTTTTTTGCTTTGGTGCTAGCTAAAGCAGTGATAAGGGTCACGATCTGTATTTAAAGACGGATCTAATCCTGTGTGTTGACCCCATGTACAGACAAGTTGAACCTAGCCCTGTGAGTAAGGCATCAGTAGTCAGACCTAATGCTGAAATTCAGATTCTGAGAAAGTTGTGTGTGGGAGTTTGTGTGGAAGAAGCGTACTTATTATGGACATCTCCACACCGGAAATTCTCCCCTGATGAGTGAGCTCAGCTGAGTGGAAGAGGAGCTCCTGACGCAGCAGAGTTAAGTGAGTCACCTTACTTCCACCATGTGTCGCATCAGCGACAGTGCTCTCACAGTTTATATGAGTAGACACTGCCGTAGCTTTAAACTCACTCAGGGATTCTCATCCACTCCTACTTACTGCTGTGAGCTGGAGGAAGTAACAGGAGTGGGTTGTAATTATGTGAAAGTACAAGGCTTTAACTGCTGCTGCATTAGCGCACTTTGTATTATGAGCAGGATACCTGTTTAGTCGTGTCATAATTCACCAACAACTCCAGAGTAAACACTGTTTGTCCTGTGTTACAGGGGGCTTTGTGCATAAGAAGGATAATACCTAAATCCCCTGTTGGCTGTGCGTGCTGTTGTTCCTGGAGTGTCGCAGCTTCATGGGGTTTAATATTATTACAGCATGTTTGAACTTTGCCTGGTTGAAACATTTCTCTTCCAGAAGAGCTGACGTCGCACAGTTTACCAGAACATGCACTCAACTTAGTGACAAAATATCAAACCCTGAGGCCTGTACAGTCCACAGCAGAACACGTGTTGGTTTTAATCAGACATTTGAGGTTATAGAAAGTGCAGCAACTCTCATGTTTGTGTTTCTAATGTGTTCCCACATTGATCCTCCTCTTCTCATTTGGTAGAGGACGCTGCACAGAATTTTCTGTCATCGTTCTGACATCAAATGAGTTAAAGCTAAAGTTCTCTGTAAATTTAAATGTTATGGTAAGAACGGATTAAAATCATGTTTGAGTAAAATGTGGGGAGGGGGCATGAAGACCTGTACTGCAGCTCATCACTGGGGAAAGTTTCTGCTTCATTCATGTCCATTATTTAATGCACCGTGCTCTTAACAGGCCTCAACAGCCCACATTCTTAAATGATGTAGGATTATATTGTTTGTTTTCCTATAACCTCTGCTTCTATTGTCTTCTTGAAAGTCTCATCACTGATATGACACATCTCAACTTTTTCAACTTTAACTTATTCTCCAAAATCAAATGTTTCAAAGTGCAACAGATCTTGTAGTTTTGAGGCCAGTGCTGGTGTTTTATTTTTTAATCAAACCTTGTGGTGTGGAGTTCAGCACTTTCTCACTGCCTCAAACCCTGTTTGGCATTTTGGCTGCAGTTTCGTTTTGGCTGGGATCAGAATATCGACAGCTTGAAAATAGGACTTATGTTGCAGCTGTTGCGAAATTTCTCGAACAACTAGGTTGTTGCATGATGGATTTCTTGCTTTGGAAAATAGCACAAACAGCTGTATGTGATTAATGCTGTAGTTTTCTGCAATTGGCAGTTGTGTCTTTCATGTTAACCAAGCTTAAAACAGTTAGCCAGATACATTTTTAACCTCCTCTAAACACTGCAGTCCTTTTAAGCCATTTGTGACCTAAATTATATTAAACATGTGCTTGTTCAGATGATCTCAATGGTTCTTATGTATTAATTTGACATATTTGTGACATTTACCAAGTATCGATTTTTCAAATTAATTGTTAGTATGAAGTCAAATCTATGATAATGTAAAAATAAAATCAACTATTTGTCCAGTAAGGTTGGTAGAGATGACATCATAGAGCCGAAGAAAGTTAGTTTAACAAATATATAAAAGGTATACAAGATGTGCTACATGAAAATAATATGTAGTGTAAATAAGAAAAACACAAAGAGCCAAATGCTAAAGTAGCTAAACAGTTGAAAAAAACGATATAAATCACAATATATGGTATCGCTATACTCACTGTATTTTAAAATGTTAAAAATCACAATAATATCATATCGTGGCCCAATTATCGTGATAATATCGTATCGTGGTGATCCCCACCCCTACTGTGTGGGTAGGTTGGATTAGAAATGATTGTTTTAAGGGCCTCTTAACATATTCTGTTTCTTTGCTCTCCTTCTAATTACAGATATACTGAAGTACTACCTGAGCTGCAGTCTGGAACAGACTAATCCCTTCCAGCAGGTTAGTTTTGTACTTTTATAAATGTGTTTTCACACTGTTTAGATTTGAAGTTCATTTATTTTCACCTCAGTATTATTTAGTGCATGTACAGTAAGCTCCAACTTCTTGCACAGTTTTTATTATTTATCACTGTAATAAAAAACCCTGACCATTAGCTGGACATGGATCACAATATTATAGATATTTCCAGTGCATGTACACGTGATTTATGATCTTGTTATTAGTGAGAATTCATGTGGGCACAGTGAGTCAGAGCTGGACTCTATCTTTCCATGCATTAGCACAATACTCTCCATTCTTCCGGCGGAGCAGCTTTTCCTGTGTGATAGCGAACGCCTGCATGACAGAATGTGTGTTAGTAGCTGGAGAAGTGAAGGCCACTTTGCTCTGAATATACGGTTTGCTTTAGTGAAGCGCCTACTTTTTAAATTGCAAACCGCATTAATAAATAAAAACTTATGAGTGCTATTGAAGCCAAGGCATCTATTGTTAGCTGGACTGCACAGCAAAGGAAGTTATATATAGAGTCTAAGCTGTAAGCTGACTGCATACTTCTACAAGACTTTCACTTTACTACTAGTGACTGGAGATACCTTAATAATTCAAGAAAAGAAATGCTTTTATATAGGTATATGTATTTGTCCTTTATTTCAGAAGCTTTCTGGGAGCCACAAAGCTTTAGTGGAGATGCAGGATGACGTATCTGAGCTGCTGCGCTCTGCCACCAGAGAGTACCAACAAACTAAGGTATGTTTTCAGCCCCATCAATACACTCGACTTTACAGATGTAGCTGCGAGCATAAACTCCCCCTCCTCCTCCTCCCTCTACAGACAACACGCTCTCTTGCTGTGTTGTACTGTTTGTGATGACAGAATATCCCATTCAGAGGGGACCAAACAACTGACCTGCAAAGAAGTGAAGTGCACCTGTCCACATAAAGACTTGCTGACGGCCCACCTGGGACCTGCATTATGTCCATTTAGCTGCATTAGGCTTTCAACTGGCCCTGGTCAATACAACACTGGGCTATTGTCTGGCACCGGTCCTTACACTGCGTTGACAGAGGCACAAACGAGAGCTGACATTGGGAATAGAGAGAGGCGTATTTCACTTCACGTACCCACACGGTGCAAATGTGCTGAGCTTGTGGAAATGTTTATATCAGCCAATCAGCTGGCATGAGAGGAGGAGGAGGAGAGAGAAGGGAGATGCTCTATAAAAATTTATCAGTCATTAAAATCTGCTTTTTCAGCCCAAGCTGCTGTAGACTGTTGTACATAATCATAAGAGACGTATCTGGTGGAAATATCTTGAATAAAAGAATCTGTGCTCGGAAATCAAGTTTCTCTTTTTGTATCTTCATTTCTTTCCAGGGAAGTTTGGAGGAGATCCAGGGGATACTGAACACCACAGAGATCAGTCTACATCAGCTCACAGCCCTGGTGGACTGCCGCAGCCTTCACATGGTGAGCACGGAGAGAAAGACTTAACACACAGAGGCATTCTTACTGAGAGGCTTTTCCTTGTCTTATTAAAAAAGGACTCCTGGATTGATTCGCTGTGACACCTTTGCGGTGCAGCTTCGTCTTATAAAACAATCCCTCCTCTCCTGCTCATGCAGCTGAGTACACCTGTCACCATAAATAACATTCCCCTTTCTGTGTGAGCTCATGTCCATTTGACGCTGGCTGTGTACCATTTATGAAGCCGGCCGGATGGCAAACTCTTGGCTGTCGGAGCGTTTTGGAGTGATTGTTCCACAGCGGTTCCAGATTCTTAGCGCACACGTGTGCTAGTGAAACACTGTTTTGGTTCTCCTCTGCTATCTCCTTGAAATATCAGCTGATACAGAGCCAAATCTTCTGAATATCTCAACCAGGAATAAGTAATGAGTCTCAGCTGCGCGGAGCATTCAGGATGAGGATTCTCAGTCATAATATTTTGAAGGTTAACAAATTCATTGACTTGCTTTGAGTGTGCCAAGCATGATCTTATTGGTTTGACCCAGTTTGAATGAAAAATCACAGCAGATGCATTTTAAAGCCCCTTTCGACATCACAAGCCAAAATTTAGAAAACTCCATCTGCATTTGTCTCGCTCAGGATTTTTGTTTTGATTTTTCTTACTTGAATTTTTCAAAGATGCGGCTTAAACATGAACATGAACAAAGAAAAGTTATCATAAAACAACACGGCTTTGGCTTTTAATTGATACCTTGAGATTGTGCTTATCTGACTTGTAAAGATTTTGTTTTTTTATTTATTCATTTTATTAGTTGTGAAAGGTGAAATAAACATCGGAGATACTACGCTACAAGCAGCAAATACAAACTACATAGGTACAGGGCTAAGGGCTAAGTTTTCTAGGGCTACGTTTTCTAGGGCTGCAGCTATCAAATGTTTTAGTTATTTAGTATTTCACCGCATATTCCATTGATTAATCGAGTAATCGGATAAAACGTAATTTTTTTTTTAGTGCAATTACCACAGAACAAGCGCGTGCGCTAGCGGATTGCAATGCTCGTAAGAAAGCTAATTATGATATTAGCTTTCATCATGCCCCTTAAGACATTATTGTCAGAGAGCTGAATTGCTCCTATGTTACCTGCTTCTGTGAGAAGAGGAGTGTGCAGAGCAGCGCTGTCTCCGCCCACAACTTGGCGGCAAATTGATAATGAGCTACTGGAGGTAGTTTGCAGAAGAGAAGCTCCCTCTCATCATTCATTTTTTCAGCTCCGTAAAACCAAAAACGCGCTTACTCCTCCTTCTACCATGATAACGTTATAATGTTGTGTCACCTTGAAAATAATCTGTGCGAAACAATGACAATATGAGCTTATAAACGAGTACTCGAGGCAGAGAAAATTCCTTGATCATTTTTTGTAATCGAGGTACTCAGGGAATCGTTTCAGCCCTGAAGTTTTTAATAATAATTGCAATAAAAGTCTCCGTCCTCGTAAAACCTGCAAAGTAAAAATGGTGTCTCTCTCCCCTCCCTGCAGGACTACGTCCAGGCCATGACAGGACTGTGCTACGATGGACTCGAAGGCCTCATCTACCTTGTGCTCTTCTCCTTCGTCACCGCTCTCATGTTTAGCTCGATTGTTTGCAGCGTGCCGCACACATGGCAAGCCAAGAGGTAAACAGCCACTGTGCAGACCCACCTACTCGCAGGCAGAGCAAAAGCTTTTAGGCTGAGTTTGGCTACAGTGAGAAATAATTCAAGAAGATAAACTTATCAATTAATTATGGTTTTGTTGCAATTATTCTGACCCCGTTTAGTGCTTGTTTTTTAACAGCACGGGCTGACAAAGGAAATAAGTCATGAAGACGTGATTAATTTTGAGTAAGACGGTTGTTTGTTCACTAGTCAAAGAACGTCTGTGTTTACCAGTGGAACGAGTCCAGAAGGCTGCAGCTGCTTCCTCAAATAGATTGCTTCCTGTTATCATCCTAATTGTGCCGAGTTGCCCTGAATCCATCATAACACACCACCAGAGCGGGTGTCTTTTTCTGCAGCTGAGGGGTGAAATCGTTCTGATGTCTTTGTCCTATCCGCGGTAGATAAGGTCTGCAGGATAGCTACAGGGAAAGTGATTTTCCCGGCACAGTCCTTCAGTTCAGCTGCAGCACATAATTAGCTGATCTCTCCTAACCAGCATGGGAAGAGGGGGGTGTGTTTATCATTTTGATCTCAGCTGGAGCTTCCTCTTATAAAGCAGGGGCTTACATGCCTGTCTGTTGATTGGCAACCCCTGCCAAGCTTGTTTTATCAGATTATCCAAGTAAAAGCCACTTTTTTTTTTTTTTTAACATGTATGAGAAATACAAGCATGAAGATTTCTCAAACATCATCACTATGGTCAAATTACAGGTGACTTTTTTTACCAAAATGCACCCCTTTGTAAATCAACGCAGTTTGAAATGAAATGAATAAACCGGGATGATCTCAGGGGTGAAGTATGCAGGAAAAGACCTGTGGGATGAACACTAGGGGGAGACAGGCTCCATCATATCTGTGTTGTTGTCGCTGTTTTGACAGACTCTGCTCAGTTCATTATTGTCCTCTCAAACACTAGAGCTTCTGTGTCTGACTGTTTGACTCAAGTGAAGCCAAAGTCTCTCTGCAGAAGTAGACGGCCGTTGTCTTTTTTTCTTCTACTGAGACAAAAGCGTCACTTGTACTGATTCAAAATGTCCTTCTTGTTAATTTCCTCTGATGGTAAACCCATTAAGTGACCCTGTTTTTACTGGTTTTTTTTGTTTTTTTTCATTCCAATCAAGCTCAGTGGAAAACTGTATCTGCTTTGCTTTAACAAAGCCCAAATTTCATCTGGTTGTTCCTGCCTCAGGCGACATGAAAGTGAATCAAAATGAGAATAAACACAAAACGTGACCACGTGGCGCTGCTATGCTTCTTTTGTCGTCCATCAGATAGGACAAGGGGTCCCTCTGGTGGCGGTTTTACAGTGTTATCTGATGTTTGCAGGAGTGACGAGGACAGTGAGGATGAGTCTCTGAGCCACGGGGGGAGGCAGAACCACGATAACCTGTACAGGGTCCACATGCCAAGCTTGTACAGCTGTGGCAGCAGCTACGGCAGTGAGACCTCCATCCCTGCAGCCGCACACACAGTCAGCAACGCACCTGTCACCGAGTACATGTAAGTCATTCCTGCTACAACACTGAAAATCACTAACACTTCCACAAAGATCGAAGTGTTAGTGATTTATTAACTCATGTTCTCAGGGGCCAGTTTTATGTCTCCAGAGCCACTAAGCTCTCCTGTATAGTCATGCAGCTGTCGCTCTCCAGCTGTGACGCCTGAGAAACCCTCAGCCCTCCTCTATAGGAAAGGGGGGGATCCCTATGTTTTATGTCTTAATCTGTACCATTAGACCTCTGATTTCTAAGTATGGACTTGGACAGCTTAGTGTACCTGCTGTGTGTAGGATTAATACATATATTACCACATTGTGTTGATTGTACTGTGTGCTCACTTGAACAGGGCGCAGAATGCCAACTTTCAGAACTCCCGCTGTGAAAATACGCCGCTCATAGGACGAGAGTCTCCTCCCCCCTCGGTAAGTGTTCAACTTTCTGTTCAAGAAATGAACCCTGAAGGAAGTACTACGGGCTCTTTGGCTGCCCTCATAGACTAAAACTGATCAGGAACTGAACCAGAGGAGCTAAGCTGGGGCCTCTGTGAGGGATGTGCACAATTCATAGACTTGATATCAGCCTGACATGGCAGTGTTTTCATCTAGAACATGTAGAGAAGGAAAAATCCAGTTTGGTTCCTGTGTACCTGAAAAGCTTCTTGGTTGTCTTTTTCCTTTATTTGTAACACTCCCAGCAGAATCTGTGAAGTAGTGATAGCATTTATTTTCTTATATTCACAACAAAACGTGTACAGAAAAACTGCAGCACAAACAGCAAATCCACAGACACAATATTCTGGCAAAAATAAAGGGTAGAAAAAAAAATTATTTAAATTGTTTTCTGTGATCTCCAGCTGCTGTTTCTCTGTACCCACTTTTTAATATGACCACCTGAAGACAGTCACATGTAGATTGCTGGACAGTACGCACTGCTCTCTGTTGTCTCTGAGTTTGTGATTCTGTGCAGCTATCGCTACGTATCTAAAATTATTTTATTGTGTGCAACAACTTGGCTTAGATGTCTGTTTTAAATGATTGGAGAAGGTCTGCAGAGGTCCATTCAGGTGTTTAAATATGTGCTATGACCAAGCCACAACCAATCCTACCTGCCCCTCTCCCTGGCCTTATCCTCCAGAGACCCCCCATCTCCCTCTAGTGTCTTTGTGTGCTTCCCTGGACTTAGACGCTGCTTTCTGTATCTTCTCTATACTCTCTTCTTGTCGTCCATTTTTTTTCCTTTTTCTTTTTTTTTTTTAAATTTATGTCTGCGAATCCATACAGTTGTATTTGACTGCCGCCGACAGTAACAGCGGTCACAGCTGGCAGTTAAAGCCTTCGGAGAGTTCAAGATCGTTTTGGTAACCTCATCTGCTATGCTAACAGGTACTAAACATGCCCTCCTTACACCCCCACCTGCTGGCCTGTTCCTCCACCTACCAAACTCCCAGCTCTACTCACCCTGTATTCAGGTCCCAGTTGGGCGACTGGCTCCTCCCCCACCCTCCACTCCTGGTCTGTCCCGGCTCTTTGCTAAGTGTCCCCACCTGGTGTCTCACATGATGTTTGTTTCCTGTGGCCCTTGGCTGCATGTTCCCCTGACCCCCCACCCTGCCTCACAGACATACTGGGTAATAACTGTGAGTCTGTACTGAAACTCTTCCCTGGGGCACACTTTTACTTAAAGGAATATTTCAGTGTAAAATCAAGTTACGGTCAAACACACCGTAACACAGAGTTACACACCCCCTCGAGAGATGAGTGTTGCCGACTGCTTGCTTCTCTAGCCGACTTCAGCAACGACCTCATGATAGCAATACACAGCGGTCTACGTCTCAATGTGCAAACCTCAACCAAAACGCCACTCTATAGCCACAAATAATGCTCAGAACAGCACCTAACTTCATCAACAGTACAAATAGGGTCCCAGTCATAGTACTAGCCAATATTTTTTTAGCTTTGCTTGGTTTCTTTGGCAAAGAGACTAAACACAACTCACTCACTCTCCTCCAGCAGCCGCTTATTTGCTTGTTTGTTTGTGGGGGAGCACTGACGAGTCGATCACCGAGTGCAGTGGAGTTTCGCAGCTCAAGGAAGAACATTTATGACTGTTACTTCATGGAAATGCAATCAGACTGAGACACGTAGGCAGAAGAACTACCGCGTCTGCAGTGCAAAATGATTATTTTGATGATTATTACTTCATGGAAATGATCCGCTGCACTCTGTGATCGATTTGTCAGGGCTCCCCCCCACAAACAAGCAGCTGCTTGAGGAGAGTGGGTGAGTTGTGTTTTGGTCTCTTTGCTAAAGAAATCAGGCAAAGCTAAAAAGATGTTTGATGGCTTGTACTATGGCTGGGACCCTATATGTCCTGTTGATGAAGTTAGGTGCTGTTCTGAGCATTATTGGTGGCTATAGAGTGGCTTTTTGGTTGAGGTTTGCGCGTGGTTCCATAGACCACTGTGTATTGCTATCGTGCGGTTGTTACTAAAGAGAAACATGCCGTCAGCAATATTCATCTCTCGACATCTCTTGACCCTAGCTTAATTTTACACCGGAATATCCCTTGAACAGTCATGAAGCTAGAAAGCTGTTGAACACTTTCTCTGACCATCATCATCTTGATTCTTGCACCTCAGGGTGAACACGCAGGGAGACTGAGGGTAGAGTACTTTAGGATTCAGTGACTGGGTCTGTAGCACAGGAGTAACAGCACTTAAAGATCTCAGCTGAGAAGCTATTCAGAGTGTATTAGGTGGTAAATTTAGAAACCTAGTGGCTGTATATTACCGTAAAATCCCACATTAGCTTTACTGTATAGTCAGTGTTTTACTATCTCCAGCTTAAGAGTTTGTATATTCAATCCAATCATGCAGTTATCTCATACTGTTTAAGCTTTAAGTGCTGCTTGTGGTAGCAGTCAGAGTCAGCTGTAACACCTCAGGTAAGTCTTGAAGGGCTTCTTCATCAGAGACACATAATACAGAAATCAACACATTGACATTTGTTTTCTGTTTAAGTTTGAAATGCAGCCTTTTTGTGCTCGTATGGCCTGGATAATAAATGCATGGATGCATCCTAAATGTATGGAAGACTCTAAAAAGAGAGTTTGACAATCAGACGTGAAAGAACTGCATCTCAAACTGGTGTATATATCAATGAAAGTCCTTGTACCTGGTTCCCCCTCCGTCCTCTGTGGCCGTTTCTGTGCTGTTCTTTCTGTATTGAAATGATTCACAAACCCTTTAGATACCAGCCAAGGTCATCAGTGTAGGATTCTCTCAGGCCTGATGAATCCCTGTTTTTTTTTTATGCCTCTTTGTGCATGTTCAGTTTTTGTTCATTTAGTTAACTCCACTGCTGGGTGGATTTTTGTACCAGGAGGGTTTTGAACACATAAGCTAAAAAAGTTGTTTGTAAATCAGAGACTTTTTTTTGACTGTATCTTTATGATTCTGATTTCTTTTTAACTCTCTAATGTTGTGTTTCTCTCCACAGTACACCTCTAGTATGCGAGCCAAGTACCTCGCAAACAGCCGACCGGAGCCCAACAACCCTCCGGCGCACTAGACCAACACTGGACTTGTCTCTGAGGTCTGTCTGCCGATCATTCCTTCATCCTGTCGGCAGGCTGTTTTTTTCTCATTGATGGTTTTCAGCCACTTTGCAACAAACTACTTGACTTGGGACGGGAAACCAAATGTGCTTTTACATCAAATCTCTTCACATCAGATGGGAGTGCTCGTACTTTTTCTCCATAGGTCACAAATCTTGGCTGACATTCAGAGTTGAAAGAATCGTCATCTGCTTGTTTGATTGTTTTTTTTTTTCCCCTTCAGACTTGATGTGATGGAGCCTGAACTAAAGTTTACACTCAGATTCCTTCTGCCTGACTCTTTACGACATGAACTGTGTCACATATGTGAAGGCATTGCAGTGTTGAGGACTCTGGAAGTGCTAATGCTGACAACTACTGTTTATTTTTTAATTTTGTAAAATATTGTCTGACACTCCTTCAATCGCTCTGGGAGAGGAACAGAAGATGCCTTACACAGACGAAAAAAAAATCAGAGAAAGAAAAAGTTTCCACCAGAATTTAGAACTTTTTCTCACACTTGACACAGATCCAACTCTTACAAGACAGACTCCATTCACAGAACAACTTCTCAGTTCTTTTTCTCAGCTTGTGAAACTTGAAATGCAATGACTCAAATCTACATTTACTCTCCAGTTTAGGTTGTCTTACTGTATATTACACATGCATGTGGGCTTGTTTTTGCGTTTCCTTTTGAATCTGACGTTTGGGACCAGTTCTTACAGTCTTACAGGTTTTACAGGTCTGAATCGGACTCTTTTGAAACACACTGATGAGCCACTAGCCAACAGCAGTGACTGTTTCTTGTGAAGCTGTGAACTGAACTTTGGCACCTCCTCTGAGAGGCTTTGACAGGAATAAAGACGAGCTCAGTGGGATGATGATCATCATCCAAGAAAAAATGCAATGATTACCAGTTTTGAGAGGAGTTTCTTTTTTTTTTCTTTCTTTTTAAACCACTGGAAGCAAAAAGTTTTTACAGCCTTCTGAAGACGATGGTGAATTTTGTGTCTTCTGCAACATTCCTCCAGGTTTTCAATCATTTGCCTCTTTGCTGAACTGCTTGTTATTCCCTCCGTGTAAGTTGGAGAGCCTCATCTCCTTCAAACAGAGCAGGAATTGTCCGCTCACACACATCCTTGACTTTGACCGCAAATGATCGTCTCTACCAAACTCAGCTGTTCACACTCCAAAAAAAAATCCCACTCCACAAAGATCGTAATGCAGGTTTAAGTAAAAAAAAAAAAAGTTTAAAAAGTGCAGCTTCTAAGAGAATTTTGAAGTGAAACTTTAATGCATTGGCAATGCAGTGTCTCTGAAAATGTGTTTTAGCATTTATAACAAAAGTAGACATGAGTGAGTGGATGCTGTGAAGGGACTGTGAGGATTACTCTTAATCTCTGGATAATCAGAGATCTGCTGATTTTCCTTTTTGAAGCGTGGTGATCTTAAAAATGTGTGCTTCTCTTAAGACGTGCATTTTGACCCGACTGTGCAAACGTGTGACGCACAACGCTCTTACTTTCTGTCTCTTTTCAAAACGTCTTCACTTTCGGCCAGTTTGTGGGTTTGACATGACTAAGACTTTTTCCGATGGTTTTCACTCTGTGAACTCGATCGCACTGATGCTATCGTTCCTTTTTCAGTAGTAGTCACTCTCTTTGTGGTTTGTTATGCCAGGCTGTTGTACAGATCTTGAAAATTTACAAAACGATGAAAAAAAGTGTCTGACGTTTCATTTTTAATTTCTTAAACAGCTTATTTCACTTTTTATTTTTCTTATTTGATTTGCTCGTAGGGTATTTTTTTTTTATTTGATTTTAGATACTGTAGAGGCACAGTGTGTTTCTTCATTAATGTGAATATGGTAAATATATTCTAATTTTCATTGAGTTTTATCCTGGAAAAAATCACTGTAGATGTAATCTCTTTTTTTTTTTATTTTTTACATTCTTTTTGCAATCTCTAAAAATGTGTACATGTAAAACTTGTGGTTCTATTGAGCTTGAATGCCGTGTTTTCAAATTAAACCAACCTTAACTGTTGCTCATCTGCTCCTGTGGTGTCTCTTTATTGTCTGATTGATACGTTTCCTCTTGAGAGGCAGATAAAATCCTGACATCCTGACCAGAAACAGACACTAGGTAGCAGCACAGCTCCACAGCCAGCTCTGCTGTGGCCGCTGTTCTCAGTGACTTTCTTTCACTCTGTGAGATGAAGCAGTGTCATGAAGTTGGGAAGATGGAGTTGAGGTAGCAGCTTAAAGTTATACTTTACAGGATAACAGCAAAAGAGATGTACGAAAGAGGATTAGGGCTACAGGAAGAGAAAAAATATATAACAGGAAAGAGATTACAGTTGAAATTTCAAGATTATAAAAATTGAAATTACGTCAATAAAGTTGAAATTTCAAGATGAAAGATTTTAGTAATTTTGAATATTAAGTCAAATTTTAGAGATTAAAGTCAACATGAATAAATTCAAAATTTCCACTTTTCTGAATTTTGACTTTAATTTAGAAATTTCAACGTTAATCTCAAAATGGAAATAAAAAAAAATCTCCCTCCTGTAATTATTTTTGTCTTTTCTTGTGTCCCTAATCCTCCTTCGTAGTGATGTGATCATGTAACCTTGATGGAATAAAAGTATTAATCACATTAAATCGAGTTATTAATATACAACTGAGTGAAGTGTATGTTTTTATTTATTTTTTGGTGGGGGCGGGTGATTTTGCCTTTTTTACTGATAGTCCAGGGTGAAATATGGGGTGAGGGACTCGAACCCATGACAGCAGTCCCCTTACATAGGGCGCACTAACCCACTCGGCCATCTGCGCGCCCTGTACATTTTTAGTGCTCTTGTCCGATGACGATCGAAATAGGGTGAGTGTGCAAAGCTTATAAATGTAAAAATACAGTCTGGGGCTTTTGCTGCATGTCAGCGTTTGTCTGCCCCTTCTCCTCTTTCCCATCTGTTTTTGGCCTCTGCTATCTATTTAAGGTAACGCCTCAGAAAATAATCTTCAAAAACAGGAAGTCAAAATATAAAGTAAGATTGCTGCGGAAGCAAAAGATGAAAAAGGAAAACATAAGCATTAAGATTTGTATCGCCTGTCAAATCCTGTTCATAATGACACATCTGTGCAGATGTAATGCAGTTTGTTCCTCTTGCAGTTGCAGACTGAGGGCTTGCATGCAGATGACTCAGGACGAAGCAGAAAGGGAGTTTTGTGTTTGTGACCTTTCTGGTCTGACAGCAGGCCTGAGGTCAGTGTCAGCACCGGGCCACCAGTCTGGTTTTGTTGACTTCCTTCGCACCGCCAGCCAGCTGCTGTCGCCCCAAACTCTGACCTCTCATGTGGAAGTCTGCTGCCTGAAATGGATCATAAACGGTTCTTTATCTCTGAATTTCTGTTTTCTCCAACCACAGAACCCAAGACCATGCACTGCTTTAGTTTGAAATATTTCACTGAACCTCGAAGGTCATCCTATTTGTTAAAAAACTTCAAAATCATTTAAATGCACAAGGTTTTTGGCAGTAAATGAGACGCTTTCTGTAGGCTTTCCAGGTATTTTCAGTCCAGGAAGAGGACTCCAGAGATTACATCATCTCGCTGTCTGAATCAGGGGCGGAACTAAACAAAGCGGTAAACAAAGCAGGACAGCAGCAGAGAGCTTTTTACAACTCGTCTTACACACAGAGCGATCTGGAGATGCAAACGAAATTTCACACGCTCTCACTGTCGAGGAAATTGAATTACTCTGCTCGTTGCTGGAGTGGAGGAATGCATCACTAATGCTTTGAGGTGAGGAGCTGAATGGACAGGGAGGGAGGAGGGGGGAGGAAGGAGGTGCTTGCATCTCCTGATCCCCCCTACGCCACCATCCCCAGACACTTCCTGGGTCTGGCTGGGCTCCCTGTCAGGTGGTTGGACCGTGGTCCCTCTTTTTTTTTAAGGATGCAGGCAGCTGCACGAGAGTATGGAGGAGGATTAGGGCCACTAAAAAAAAAAAGTCAAAGTCAGAATTATGACTTTTTTTCACAGAATAATAATTTCATACATCTATATCAGACCTTCATTTTTTTTCGTGCGGCCCTAATCCTCTTCCGTACAACAGCAAGGAGACACTGCAGCCTGAACATAGACCAGGCATCAGCCCACCTTTGAGTTATCTGATCCTCCATACCACAGTTAACACAGATTATCTTTGATCAAACATGGTCTTTTATAAATCCTGCACTAACACTGATAAATCATGTCTTTAAAATTTGCATTTTACAGTGGTTGCAGGTCAGGTGGAGCTAGTTTTACGACTCAGGAGGTCTCATTTCCCAGCATGCCAAATTTCAACATCACTGCAGAGATGAGACCGATGAACGCTGAATACCAAATGCACCATGTGAGCACCTTTGTGTCCCTGCTGCTTTGTTTGCTCTCTTGCTCATGAGGCAGAGGGAGTGGGGAAGACAGGGTGCCCTGGTTTGTCTCTTTTGTGGAGCGGCTCAAAGGGAGGCAGCTGTATCCTGGGAGGCTGTGCTCTCGTTATTCACACCTCACCTCCTCCTTTGTACGCAGCACCCTGAGCAGTCAGAAGGAGCACGTATCCACCACCGGAGGATTTATGGAGCTGTCTGGTTATCCCCCTTCCTCACCTTTTGACTCCACAGAGAAAGCTGCACTGTGATGCTTCAACAAGTATTTTCCCTCTCCTGCCGGTTTCTTTTAAATTCGCCTAAAGTCTGGATTTGTCATGATCCAGCAGTTAACCACCATCTTGAAACTGAACTTAGGTAGACAGCTCTCATCCAGGGTCTGAGTGTTTTTTTGTTACTAAGGAAACAACAATGACTGAAAGGCACTTTTTCTGAGCTTATTCAACCAAACACATTGCAGTATCATTCAATTTTTCATACATATATCGATATATTGTAATAGTAAGAGAAACCTTTACTGTTACTTTTTCTGCAGCTCAGAAATTGGTTTTAGATAAATACTTAAAATTCACTTCAAAAGAAGTGTTTCTAACTTCAATTTTTAACCTATTAAAGATCAAAGTTAAATAATTTTCAATAGTTTTTTTTTTGTAGGACAATGTGAAAATCAATTATTTCCTGCAAAACATCAGAGGACTGAGAGGGGGGGAAAAAAAGGTCCCATTGATCCTCAGCCAGGCCTGCTGGTCCTCCTCCAAATTCCTCAAGTCCTCCACTCATGTGCTGCTTAAGTTCAAGTCCTTCTTTAGTCTGGATATGTGATACCTGGATTAGAGTAAACTCCCACTCAGTCGGCCTCTGGAGCACATGTTGAGCAGGATTAAAGCCTGTGCCAGTTGCTGTGAGATCTCCGCGCCGGCCAATGGGACTCGCCCCGCCGCTCCTAATCTCGCAGACAATGCAGACTGTTAATTGGAGGCTGACTGATACAACAGAGGAAAGACATGAAGACAATGTGCGAGTGGCTGGCTGCTCTGTAATCCCCCTGCACTCTGAAGAATGTCCCTCTGTGGCTGCCATCTTTGACTGGGAAGATTGTCTGCGAGCTCTCAGCTCACATTCTGGGGTTTCCCTTTGACTGACAGTTAAAGTCGCTGTTTTGTTTTTGAAGGCAATGAAAGTAACGTAACAGAGATGTGAAATTTCACATATTCAGCTTTAGTGGACTGATGGGAGGTGCCGGAAAGCACACCCACGTGTTTGTGTGTTAATCAGCAGGGTGCAGGCACTGTAAAGATTTATGAGTGTCTCCTGTCAGTACGAGGCTAGAATCATTTAAACCCTTGAAACCACAAAATGAGGAGCAAATAATGTTTTTAGATTCTTTTATCACCTGAATATCTGCAGAAACAGTAGGAAAAAAAATCTCTTAAATGGCTGGTAGGCTGACAGACCATAACTGGCTCCCTGGTGGAGATAAAAAAGTCAGGTGAGGACTAATTTTCATAAAGTGTGACTCAGAGAGACAGACACAAGTCATGCAAGAGTCTTTTTATTTAGTAAACAGTATGATGGACGTGCTGCTCTATTATCAGTGGTAGATAATCAGCCACAGTAACAGCCTGCAGCCATGTTTCTGTGTCAGTCACTGACAGTTGGGTGGGCCGACAGCAGACTGCAGTTAGATGTTTATGTTCCTGTAATCTTTCACCTGCTCCTGCTGCACCACACATATGCAAAACAGTTCAACAGTTTGGAGATGTAACCTCTCTGTTACACTGATTTAGAAATGATTCACTGAAGAGCAATGGAGCGCCCTCAGTGTCAGTGTGGTTGAACTGGTAAAAAAGATTCAAAATCAACCAATCAGGGCATAGAAGAGACACACTGTGTTTTATGAAGTACTTAACAAATATAGAAAATGACAAGTCAAAGTGTAAGTCTCCCATGAGAATTTTTCTTGACTCAAAGTCTTAAAGTATATCACATTCTCTCTACTTAAGTATCAAAAATACTCAAGTAAACGTACTCCAAGTAAAAGTTAAAAGTCAAAGTCAAGTACAAATAAATGTATGTTTTTTTTTTTTGTTTTCTTTTTGCAAAAGTCATCTATGCCCAAATAAGCACACATTTCAGGAGGGAGGAAGCAACGGCCTAGAAAAATAAATGGGAGGGACGGACAGATCCCTGATTACAGAACTGAGGACGCCAGTTGGGCACGATGAGAACCATCAAAACAGCCACTGGACATTTATGTGGGTGCAAGCAACTGCACAGCCTACAAGCGACTGCAGACATGCCCGGGCTTGAGTGACTGATTGATAATGATCAAGCGCAATGCAAATCAACATTAGGTGAAAGGAAAAAGTATTTTTCCCCCACCCGCTGTCATAGTAACCTAGTAAAAAATAGAAGTAGCGAAGATGCCTCTGTGAAATGTAGTGGAGTAAAAGTATACTTTTATTTTTAGAAATGTAGTCAAGTAAAAGTAAAAGTCACGCGCACACACACACACAAAAAACCCAGTAAAGTACAGATACTTCAAATTTATACTCAAGTACTGTACTTAAGTATCGCTACTTACTTACTATACAACAGTGGAGACACATTTATGGTGCATTTGGTACAATGTTAAGATATTCTCAGAATGCAGATCAACAAGACTAATTCAAATGCATTAAATTATATTTTTAAACTAATTAACAGTACTTACACTGCTGTCACTGTCTGCATGCTCAGTGTCTCTGTGTCTTCTGTCCAACCGTCTCTGTCATGAGGGTGAAAATTTGGCCCCAGCTCAGGGTGTAAATTGAAATGCTAGGTGTGTACATTTTAAAAGCTCTTTCTGATTGTATTTGTTGTTCTGCAGCTTCTTGTATGGGAACAGACATAATTGTAATAGCAGACACACAGAGAAGGACAAAAGGACAGTAATCTCTCATAACAGTCAGAGATGCGCACAGATGTGTGAAGGTGTTCAGTTTGCAGAAGGAAGAGTTTTTCTTGAATGTATCTTGTTTTCTTTATCTCTATCTGTGCAGACTTCTCACTGAGTTGAACTTGCACAAAAACGACGTGTTGCACGGTGACATTTTTCTTCAGCTGTGCCTGTGACAGTTTTTGGGGTCACAGCTCAAAACCGTCATGTAGACACAGATTAGACAAACACTCTAATGGTTTGTTGATGCTTAAACTTATCTTGTTTTATCACAGGAGAAGATCAAACTCCTGCTGATCCGATTGCTGTTTGCACATTCACAGCTTGCCAATGTTATAATACAAGAGTTTTAAACTTAAGCCACATGCCCTCTGTTCCCATGGGTGCAGCGCCAGAGGAGGAATCCCTCGCTTCCTCTTCTTGTGAAGCTGACAAACGATCACAAACTACCATCATACTGTTTTAATTGTTCTGTTTTATACGATGTTTTGATTTGAAAGTTCATGACAGATTCATTTAAAACTTTTCGTGAGCGAACAAAGAGAAGACAGAGGGTGCAAATGACTGATGTCTGTTTGGAAAGAAGATTTAGACACATAAAAGAGAAACTTTTTCCCACTATACATTTCTGGAAAGCAAAGCAGTGATTATGGTTTGTGGTTGGGATGTTTGCTCAGTGTAATTTGTCTCCCATGCTGGGCTTTGGTGATGGATTTTCAACCCTGTGTCTACCAGGGTTCAGCCACATGGTTGGTGGAGTCATGTTAATATTGCATTTTATGCCAATAATAAACTCAAAGCATCCTGTACTTTCATATGTTTGTGTGTAAAATCACTTGACGCAGCGTTTTTAACCATTAAGACGTATACAGGAGCTTTATAAGTGTCTCTTTCTGTCACGTTAGGCCTGTAGGCTACTTTAGTTAGCATGTAGGGGAGACTGGGGAGAGTCACAACACTTTTTGCTTTTCTCTCAATTACACAGAGATGATTTGGACTAGGCCAAACATTTATTTATAGTAATATACACCTGCCCTCTAATTCCCCACACCATTTACATATGATTACATCAGATAGATTTTTTACAATATTCATTCATTCAAAAAAAGGCAACTGTTGTAGCCAATCCCATCCCTGGGACATTTGCTACACTACTCAGGGACAGTTGCAATATGTCACAAATCCATTCAATTTTGTATTTTTTCTCTTTTTTTTGTCTCAATGAGCAAATTGATCTGAGAATATGTATTATTTATGATATTATTATCATAATTTCATATACAAAATGTTATCATACTATTTATTCATTGATCTAATATCCAATATTGAGTTTTGTTTCTTTCTACATAAAACATGGTCTACTTTGAGTCAATGTGCAGTGGTTACAGATTTTCAATGTGACTAAGTGTATTGTGGATTTTACCAAGATACAAATACAAATCTTGATGCAAATGGAACACTGCATATCACGCAACACTAGCTTGGGGACAGGCATGACAAAATACCATGTGCTAACTAAACACACAGTTTTTAACAAATGCTAACCATGTAACTTAGAAATCAAGTAAACAACCATTAAAACTAACGAAGTTGTGATTAATTCATGCTAACAGTCGGGACAGTATGACAAAAATAAACTACATAAAAAAATTTACTTTCATACATCAAAAACATTTTTTTTTCATCCAGAAGATGATGCTACATGTGTCTTCTGACCTGCTTGTGGGGGGAGGGCCCAACTGAGCATCTGCAGTATCAGAGTCATCTATCTAGCATGTTTCTGATTGGAGGAATATGCCTTGTTGCAACTGTCCCTTGTTGTAACTGTCCCTAGTCTCCCCTACTGAACTGTAAGTGTGAACACCTCATCTTTATCTCTCAGACAGCAGAAAAATAATTATCATAAACCTTTGAGACAGTCAAATAAACACATGACAAGGAGTGATATGTTTCTCAGTGGTTATGCTCTTTTATTCAAACTTTCAGGTCCCACTTTAGGGTCCCACAGTACTTTTAATACCAGGATCAGCTCACAATCCCTGAGAAGCAAGTATCGGTGGTGAGCTGTTCAGACCCTCCAGATACTGGAGAATAAACAGCGCAGTCAATAATACAATTCAAAGCAGTACAAAATCATATCCAGGTCATTTAAATCAGGTGTAAACCGCACAGGGTGGGTTACAATCTAAACAATGCACATTCATTACTAATTCAAACAGAGGCACAGTACACAATACTGTCATTGAGATTTACAAAGTAACCCAATATGGGTGAGGATGACACAGAGGGAACAGACTCCTCCATGTGGGGACGCCGATGTTGCTCGTGTGGAGATCCCACCTCACAGGCTTCAACAGTGACTAGTCAGTAAAGTGTGGAAGTAAAGCACATTCAGGTTAAGAGGAGCAGACACTGGAGCTCCTCTCTTGTGTGGTTATTATCACTGATTTTCACTGTTGAACCCATGAGGTGAGTCTCTTTCCAGGAGCAAACGTCAGCTTATTTGAAGCTCAGCTGTGCAATATTTAAAAACTTTTCAAAGCAATTTAAAATCTGATTGTAACCCCATGTCAACAAATTCCTCCATTCATTATTTCCCCTGATTGAAATACATGCAAGGAGGGATATGAAATACACATGAATGGCCGGAGTTTGAGATTTTGTGAGGTTCAAATTGTTTACTCCGTTTGAACCCAAACTGAAGCACGTTATTAAGGGACATAAATTAAATCAGTTTATGAAAAACTGCCATCAAGAAAAAGTGCTTCATCCTATTAAACTTCAGATTAGGTCGACCAAGAAAAGATGCTTTTGGAAATATGCAAACTGCCAGCTCAGGTCAAGAGATAACACTGTTAACTAAAAAAAAACATGAAACATCTTCATATTGCAGAATTTGTCCGGAGTCATCATTGTTAAAATGATCTGAACAGAAGAAAGACTAAAAAGCCAATTATACTGTATGTGTTAAAAGCTATAAACAAATACCCATGGAGCTGTTTTTTTAAAATGCTAAAAAGCTAAAAAGCTCAAACAATACAAGTGTTAATGAAGCTGGCAATTAGGTTTGGATATATGGCAATACATTCTATGAGAATTGCAAATACATTTACAAGCAACGTATACTGTACATCTCAAAGCTCAACTGATTGCCTGTAAAGTACAACAGAGAAAGCTGCTTCCTGCCAAGGCCTGGAGTCCACTATCCCGTGTATTACGGGGTCGAACAAGGTCCTGGTTTTGACGCAGGAAGAAAAAGTCCCGAGGCGGGCCGCACAGCAGCCCAGTAAAACTATTAAAGACCGCACATCACTGCAGCAAGAAAACAGCAGCCATACGGTCTAATACCAAACACTGGTCCCTACAAGCCTTTCAGATACCGAGGCATGACCGGGACGAGGATGAGAAAGGAGCGGTCGCCTTAGAAGGCAACCTGAGGGGGACACCAGGGGGTGTCTGGGTACAGGAGACAGTGCACAGACTTGAACCTAGGAGACAGAGAAAAGGATGTTTGAGTTAAGTTTGCTGACAAGCATTGAAAAAACGTGGATCACAACAGTCGGAACAGTTCCTCACCTGGATGGATCCTCCTCCACAGGAAAAGCTCCTTTCAAATTGATGATGTTACTCTTGTTTTCGAACATCCCATAACTGAGAGTGATCTGAAGAAGACGGCAAAAACGTCAGCAACACAGGAGACAAACGTGAAATTTATGATGCATCAAAGCTTACTGGTGATGTGCGCATCTCACCTGTTTGTGTATCTCTGATCTTTGAACCTGTTGCAGGTTCTCCAGGTGGGAGTGGAACAGGTTGCTGCGGGTCAGAGGAACCTTGAGAACCGATTCGATGATGTAGCCGATGGTGCAATCATCGGGCAGGCGGATCTTCTCAGCTGTGTTCATGAAGTGACCGCCACTGGTAGGACGAAAGTTACCAGATCAGTCACGATATTAACCAACTAGTGAATAATTCCTCATAGACAATGACCTGTTGTCCTTTATATCGTTAAACTGGAGTTTGTTATCTTGAGTGTATCTTACCTGGCCCATGGGCTCATCTTCAGGGCCAGTCCCCGGCTCACACAGAAGCCTGCCCCTCCAGTAGCAAACCAAAAGTTGACTGGTTTCTGTCAAAACAACCAAAAGTTACTCCAGTGATTTATAAGTTATGAGATCCTTGAAGGAAAATGTGGAGAAAGAAAGAAAATCCTCTACGTACCATCTTGTTGTCCCCCAGCCTCTCTGTGGCCTCTATAGGCCGGTCCAGACTGGGTTTGCCCAGGTACATGTCCTGGGTGTGGGGGTACTGGGACAGGAACTTCACCAGAGAGGGAACATTCACATAGTTGTCATCATCTACATGACAGAACCACCTGAGAAGACAGACAAACCATTAGACTCTTATCCATTCAAAATAACCAAATAAACTCTAAATGAACTGGTCCTTACTTTTTCCCCGACTCGATAAACTTGTCATATTCCACCGCCATCTTGCAGGACAGAGCCTGTCTGCTGTGAGCGGCAGAGCAGTTTGTGTTGATTGCATGACTCCCTGTAAAACAGTCAAAGAGAAAAGGATGTTTAATTGAAAGTGACGCCACCAACAGAGGCTTCTTTATAATTTTGATTTGGTAAATCATAAATTTACCAACAGTGTGTCTCTGTGTTTCCAACAAAGATCTCTTTTCAAAAAACTCACCAATTTTCTTTTTTAACTCTTCGTCTTCTCCATCCGTGAAGATGTAGGTCTGAAAACACACAAAGGACAGTACAGATGAGTGGACCGAGACTTAAAATCCATAAAATCAAAACCACTTTGGCTGATCTTGTGAAGCGGTCACATGGTCAAATCCAGCAGTGTACAAAGTGCTTCTTTCTCCAGTCGGGTGTGATTAGCATCAATCAACATGTCTTTTATGCAGTGGAAAACACATTGAGTTAAACAACCCCCTGCTCTAATAAAGGCCTTTTGTCCTGCGCTTCACTCTCTCCATGGCAACTGCGCCGCCGCCCTGAAGCATCCCAGACATAGAACAAAGCAGGAGGCAGACTGTCCGCCCCCCACACACCCCGTTCGTGTATCCCATCCCCCGATGAGCCCCTCCACTCTGCTGGACCTGCTGCCAGCTTTGACATGTTGGATCTGATCTGACAAACAACCTGCACGACCCTGTTGGTGTGTGTGTGTGTGTGTGTGTGTGTGTGTGTGTGTGTGTGTGTGTGTGTGTGTGTGTGTGTGTGTGTGTGTGTGTGTGTGTGTGTGTGTGTTTGAGCAGCTCTATGACTGACTGAGGGGCCCGGGATTTAAACCACAAGACTGCAGGCGCTTGTTAAATGTATCAGTTAGTCATAAAAGAGTTAACAACAAAGAACACCTCGCAGGAAGACTCTTTAAAAAAAAGCAGACTCCTCTTTATGACTGATCACACTGAGCAGGTGCAAGCTGCTAAACGCCGCAGATGAAAGCTGGCGCTGAGCTTTGTAACCGCCAGCTCAGTGTTTACTCTTCACCTCAGGTGAGGCAGCACCTGCCGCCCATCACGCTACTTTATCTACGCCACGTGTCTCTACTCGCCAGCTCGTGGTGCCCTCGCCCTCGCTGACAGAGTGCTTTTTGTTACCTATCACCCACATTCTTGCTGCTTTCCCTCGCTCCTGCCAGGCAACTGCGATTTGTGATCTGCATCTTTAACAGGCAGCTGGCTTTTCTTGAACGAAAACACACGTCTTTCTACTCCAGCGTGCTTTTTCTTTTTGACATTGAACTGTTTGTAGAGCAAACTCTGAGCAGATGTTGCTCGGCGCTGAAGCCATGAGCCGGTATTTGTTTAAGAGAGGGTGGTAGTTTTAGTCGGTGAAGGGGATCAGAGGCTGGCGCTGTTTGCTCGAAAAACCCATTGAATAGACGGTCTAATCACTGAGGCAGCTGCCAGAGCTGCCAGGGCACTGATAGAGAGAGGGAGAGGGAGGAGAGGAATCTCACTACTGATTAGTTAAATCAAAATCCGTGTGTGGCCATTCACCCCCTCTACACCCTCTATCCTGCCCCCCCACCCTCCACACTCCCCCCGCCTTTGCCTCCGGTTGGAGCCCCTTGAATAGAACAATGCTGTGAGTTTTCATGCTGGGTAAGTCTCTGCTGGGTAAATTCTAAATATGTTTGCCGGCATTTGCATACAGCTGCAGGAGTTAACTAAAGAGAAACCTCCCCGGGAACTTTTTTTTCTTCCCTCCCTTTCTCTCTATTTGTTTCTAAACTGAAACCTTAGAGAAGAGTTACTTTTATGGAATACTAATGTGGAAACAAGAAAGAGACGGCTGTGTGTGAAGTAGAGATAAGAGACGAGAGGGCACAAGGTGAGGAGCGCAGGGGGATGAGAGCAAACAGAGAGAAGAATGAAAGGGGGGTGCACTCCCGACCACAGGAAGGTCTGGCACGGCCCTGTCGGAGCTGGACGTGGTGCCTGGCTGGCTGTCTCCATCTCCACGGGAAGGAAGGGCATCAGAGCTCCCCTCCCTCTATCAGACACTTCCCCTCTTTCGAGAAATCAAAGCATTTTAAGCCGCTTTTATTAGAACGTGGAGAGTATCTAATGGGAGTACTTAAAACTGGAAAATCACAAACTTTCTGAAAACATCTGACTAACTCGAGTTCAACACATCAAACGTTTTTTTTCTGCAATGCTTTCCAGTTATCATCTCTTTTAAATTAGAATACATAAAGATCTAGAAACCAGCTGCAAAATGAACTCACACTACTATAAAAGCAGTAGCTATGTGCCATCCATTTACACTTTTTTCACTTCATTGTTCCTGCACAGTTCTCAGAAAACAGGAAGAGGATCTGTAAAGAAAACATACATCTAGATTTCTTTCTGTTTGAGTCACTCAGGCTTTCGTAAGAGTAAAAACACCAGCTGGTTGGATTTCCCAAAAAAAAAAAAGAAAAGTTATTTAAACTCTGAATAGACTAGCAGATTAAGAGGGCCGCCGCTCTATTGTGTCAATGTAGCTATCACGGAGATAATCTGGCCTCCATGTTCTCATGTAAACACCGCCTCCAGCTGCACAACAGTAAAGAGACCTCCCTCTGGTGAGGACAAGTTATGCATAAAACATCAAGTTTGGGTTTCTGTGTGACTCTTGTCCCTCATGTAACTGCACAGATGTTCATCAGCTGAGCATGGGAATCAAACCTCAACACAGAGGATGGCCATATGCACACTATGGGAACTAGGAGCATCATATGGCTGGCATTAAGGCCGTCCTTTGTTTCGTCCCTCCTGACCACCTGTCACCCTTCCTCCAGGAACTCCCTCTCTCATTGTGAGCTCAGTCTGTGCTTTTTTTGTCCATGCAGGCACCCACCAGCTGCTTGCATGTATGAGCGCTGCTGTTTTCTCTCTGTCAAATGTGTTAACTAACATTATCAAGAACAGAAACTACAAGCAAATACAACAATAAGAGCACTCATGAGAAGATGAGAAGAGCATGAATTCCCTGTTAAAGCATTACAAAAAATCTTTCTCCACTCTGTCCTGATTTTAAGGAATTAAAACCAGTGTGTGACAGCGCCTACAGCAACTCGCAAAGCTCATAAAAACTACATGTGACACCTCTGATTGCAGGATAAAATCACTATGACTGGTTACTTTTTTATAGCTGTCCATGTCTTTGAGAACTAGAAAAGAGCTTGGTTCTCAGGCCTACATTTCCACACTCAGCGTGCAAAAAACTCGCCTATAGATGCACCCCTTTGTCCCCATGCATCCCCTCAGCCAAGCCCCCCGTTTTCCCATCCCTCCAGTGAGCTTGACCCAGACTCAGCTCCCACGTTCCCATGGAGAGAGGGGGAAGACAAGAGGGCTTGGAAACGCTTTTACTTCCCCCCTTCAGAAAGACGCTTTGTTGGGCCCTGGAAGGGGGACAGCGCTGGAGTCGCTGCTGTGAAGCATCCATTGCACCGAGGGCATTCACAGGGACACCCGAAAAGAGAAAGGATAATAGAGGAGAGGGGTGAGAGAGGGGGGCTCAAAGAGGGAGTCCTGAAACTGTTCCCTCCGTTCTCAGGGACATCACTCAGAGAAGAATAAAAAAAGTGACAGAGCTGGGGAAACTCTGCGTGGTAACAGGGGTTTTGTGGGTATTTCACTGTGTCATCTGGTGGCAGGGAGAACAATGCTGCACTGTACGAGCCATCAAACAAGCATCACCTGCATTCGCACACTAACTTATTGTTTTCTTCTACAGAGGAGACTCAACAATGATGATTCAAGCCCAGGAATAGTTAAAATAATCCACTTTAAAACTTTTTAACCATCTAATTCAACGAAATCATCTTGGAATTACCTGTTGCGCGTTTCTTGAGATCCACGTGTCCAGCAGCAGATTGAGTCTGGGCTGGTGGAACTTCTTGGTGGTCTTTACAGCGATGAAGATGTCATCGGCGCTGATGTCCTCCACTGGAGCTGGATCGGCGGAGGACGCAGAGGAGCGCGCGGGCTTCTCCACCTCCCTCCGTCCCCGGGTCAGTTTGGAAAGATACGCAGAGAATCCTCTCTTCTCTGGCGCGCCGCTAAGCTGTGCGTCAAGAGCGCGCGTCCCGGTGTCCTCTCCGGTCACCTTCTCCACCTGAACCCGGTGATGCTGCACCGCGACCAGGAGCAGCAGCAGACACAAACACGCTGTGCTCCCGATAGAGATAACTGTCTTCTTTACGTTACTATTGACCATGATTAAGCTTGAAAATACTCTAAAACTATGAAGCTGTGCGACGAGTTTTTAACGCAGAGTCCATGTGGTGAGTTAGTCTCCTAATAAAACAAAACAAAAGAAATCACAGACTCCTCCGATCGCATGACTGAATCATCAATGAGGGTGTCAGCACTGAGGGGGATATATAAGCTTCCATTCTTGTCACGCCCCATAGGAGGTCTTTGTCGCGATAAGGGGCGTGGCTTCAGCTTGGTGAGTGTGTTTTGTATGTATGTGCTGAAGACAATTTGGCTCCTACTGATAGAAAGGTAAAAGATTGACCCAGAAAAAAACAAGACTACATGTGAAAAGGTGTGTCATTTTATCAGCAGTCCCCTCACAGTTCAATCCATGGAGTTGAACATTTGGAATCAGACTTCAGACTATCTAAACTCAGCAGAGTGTGAGTCTGGTGTTCACTAGGAAACAGCCTCCATTGTTCCTCTCTGACCTTGTGAGGACTCTAAACAGTTGGCCTTTCCCGAACACTTGTTATTCAAATTTTTGGCTCTCTTAACCGAGTGCCGTCTGGTGCCAGAACGCTTACCAAAAGTTCCATTTGAGTCCAACAGGCAGCTGGTGGAGCCTCAATAACCCCTGTTAGAGCTCCCAGCAACCAGATTGAGACAATTCAGTATCACACTGATCTGAAAGGGCCTTTTTTGAAGAAATCCTAGTTGCCATTATCTACAGCAGGAAGTCCTCTTGTTCTGAGATACCAATCACTTTTAAAGTGTAAGTATAAAACATTAAAGCAGCTGAAAGCATCCTCCTTTCCTTTCCCTTTTGGATTCAATCCAGATATCTGGACAAAATCACTTTGTGTTTACAGAAAATCTGTTTTGTTCTTTTTCCTGCTGCTAGTTTTTATTCTTCTGTTCCTGTGATCAGAGGAGAGAAAACTTCACGTCCACTGTAGGTTTTTCTGATCTTTTTAGTAAACACAGTAAGATGGCCTCAACTCTTTTTAAATCAAGTGCAGCTCTGCAGGTCATGCATGTTACTTCCCCCTCTCTTAACTTTGGATCAAAAACTGTCCGTCTTTACGACAAAGAGTGAAAAAGATCATTTCTAAACTCTGTCTTCTGTTTCATCCTCTGGAAGAAAACTTCTTTTTCTCCTTTTTGAAACATACCCCAGAACCTAAACTCCTCTTGGACCCCCCAAACTATGATGAAACCACTGAATACCAGAGAGATTAAATCCAGTTTTTCTTCAGACAGGCCCACTTCCTCACCACAGCACCCACAAACCCACAAATCAGTCTCACCATGAGCATGATTTTCCTCTTGATCGTAGCGGCATGTCAGGGGTCTGAAAGTTACAGTGGGGAAGGGTATTTATAGCTCCATCTGTTAAGAGATGCTTTCATATTTAAAAAAAAATCACTACACATATCAAAAGCTTGTCTAGGTGTCTCACTATTCGCTGATATCTACCACACAAAAACTGTAAACACATGAGCAGATTCAGCTTTGTGCTCTCTCATCTATAACTCAATAGTCTACATACACACAGATCTCACTTATTGAAAACATGGAAGACATTAACTCGAAGCCGCAACTTTCTTGATGTGACCATTTATTTGATTTCCAGTCTGTTTAACATTCCAGTCTGTTTAAAGATTCTGCTTTTAGAAGCTTTTGTTTATGACTTACTGATTCAAATAAGTTCCAGTCTTTCACATTATAACCTAAAACACTGGCTGAGTCTTAGATCTCCAGCCATGAACATTAGTATTGAACGCTTCTGACAGATTGTGAACAAGAGCTGTAAAGAAAAAAGTTTGATGGGTCGATGAGAGCTGGGCGGCAGGATCAGTCTCTGTCTGGGTTTATTTTCCCAGTATGGACACACTAGCTCTGATGGGATTATAGGTCACACCCCGAGTGAGAGCCAGGGGAGCAGGCGTCCTCTCCTCAGAACCCAGTTTAAATTTCCCTCCCTGTGCAACATACAGGAAATTCTCCAAGGGCCACGGCTGAGGGGTCTTCAGCTGCTGGAGAAACAAATAAATACAAGCTGTTTTTTATTGATCCACACAAAGAGTTCCCATCAGTCTGAATAGACCTCAAATTGATGTTGACTGTGATAGCAGCATATAAAATTGGATTTAAGATGTTAGGCAGCCATTGATGGAGGTACCTTGATCAGGCTTCGTTAACATTATTTACAATTTACATATCGAGCATTGGTTACAACAACAGAGTGATCACATTTCACAATGAAAAACTGAGAAAATTTATTATCAATAAAAAATACATTATTACAATCCTCTGCGCACTCAGTGGGTAAAACGTCTGTTCACAGAGGTGTGCAGATAGCCAAGTGGGTTAGTGTGCCCTATGTATGGGGACCATGGTCCCTGCAGTGGTTGTGGGTTTGAGTCTAGGTCTGACCATGTGCTTCATGTCCTCTATCTCCCCACATTTTACCCTTTTCCATCAATAATGGAAAAATAAACCCAAAAAAATGTTTAAAAAAAATGTTCTTTCAGATTTAATACTTTATTAATTTACAGTTCGTGTTTTGTGCAAAGGTACAAAAATCTCTGCTTGTCTCTGTGGTTAAAACAAGGAGGCAATCCCACTGTCACACAGACAGTCACTGTAAAAGTAGAAAATTTTACACTTTCTCTGAGTTTGGATTAAAATATGCTGATAGTTGTAGTTGACGGGGAAGGGAGTATTCAGATTCTGTACCATCAACCAGTCAATCTTTATTTATGAAGTGGCAATTCACAACCAGTCCACACCAAAATCTGTTTACAAAGACCCAAAGGTGTAAAGGTGGGATAAGTTTGAGCCCCGTCTTTTAAGATCAGACCCACTCTCATCCCATCTTCAACCACACGAGTGTAGTTAGCACTTTGCAGCATTTATCAAGTTACAGTGAAGAGGAAGAACTTCTTTTAACAGGGCAGAAGTCATCTGCTGAGATTGAGCTGGGTTTAAAGAGGGGAGAGAGGGAGATGGGGGGGGGGGGGCTACTAAATTGATTTAATAGCATAAATTAGGATGTTCCGTTTAAACAAAAGTCAAACATAAAATAGCATGTATATGTGGCCCACTTTCTTAACTCCAATCACTGGTAGTATTACAATAAATATTTTAACACATTTTTTTCAGAAAAATTAAAATGTTGCCCCTTTATAAATGAGCAGAACAAGCCTTAACATTAAAACAGCACAAAATACAAACTTACAACACTAAAATGTGTTTATTCACAGGATTGTGATGACCGTTAAATGACCATCTGTGATCCAAAGGTCGCTGGGTTACACGCTGGCATGCCTGGACATGTTGAGCATCATGTCTTTTATCCTATTGTTAGACTAGAAATGTATTCGCTTTCACACCATACACAAGAAACTAAGAGAAATATGCCAGATTTTTTCTTCACAGACTGAGAGCTGTGATAACTGAGAGCAGTTTGAACCTTTCTGCGCTCAAGAAAACACAGCGTTACATGAAACAAGATATTCACTAGAGACCCTGCAGGTTTATATTTCCACTAAGAACTCAGTAAACTCAGGGGACCTCTGACGGCTGTTGACAAGTTTGAGTTATTTCCACATCAAAATGTACAAATTGAAGAGCTAGGAAGGAGGGGAAAAGCCTGCAAAAAGGCCCCTTATGTTGGGTGAAATGACCCTTTTCTTAACCATTATGGCGTCTTTTGTTGTGTGCCTGTTACCTTACTGGGACATGCAATGGGAGGTCCAGCAGACAAAGACAAAATCCTGGTGTTGTGATAGTTTGTTGTGTTGTCTCATTGGGCCGTCTCTCAGTCTGGGGGTGTTTTGCATAAACTGGTTTGTTTTTCTGACTAATCACAGGACAATATATGAAAAGATGTTGTTGTCAATGCAGAATAACCATATCAGAATATATAAACTTTGTTTGGTTGTTTGGAGGATGTATCAGCAGCAGTTGAGTTTACTCTAAATTTCTTGGCTAAATAAACACGCTTCAGCGCGGACAAGGGAATTTCAGCTGCACCACTCTGCAGATCCAACCAAAACAGGAAGTTCACGGCTGGTGGCTGATGGCTCATTTCTTGGTGCTAATCGTCCTCTTTTCACTTTGTTCACAACAACCAGGAGAACATGAGCTATTAGCATAACTGTTCAGACCTGCTCGTCACCCCCTGTCCCTGCCCTACTTCCACTCTGTCAGCCTAATGCTTCCCAGCACCCTCTCTTTGTGCCAGCCCCCGTTATTCTGGGAACATCAAATGATTGACACATAAAACTGGGAGGACTCTTGTCTTGTCTGAAAACTGTGGCTCCAAACACACATGCATTCACTGAAGACTGGCATGGTTTCCTATTTGTTGTTCCTTTTTTCCCACTGTGTTATGAGGAGGGCTTTATGTTGAGAGGCATAAAGAGGAGCAGAGATATGATCTCTTTGTGGAAGAATGGAGGCTGTGGGATGTGTTACTGTGAAAATGACAGAGTCAGGCTGAAGTGTCAGACTCTCACGGGGCAGCAGGCTGAAGCGAGAGAGGCTCCGGTGGGAATCTGCTGAGGTTTCGCTGTGAAGCGTGGGTGTTACACACATTGTGTAACTTCTCTGTATTCCGGACTCGGGGGTCTGGTGGTAACAGTGGTAACAGCCTCATTGGAAAATCTTGTTTATGGCCTTGTCATTTCCAAAAAACAGCCTGGGAGATGTTGGAATATCACTGTTATGAGGTTGAGGTCCCACTCCAATCTTTTTTTTTTTACTACTTAAAGTGTTCTCAGTGGTCTTTACATTGTGATTATGGAGTTTTTAGTCAAAATCATATTACCTGTGCCATTTTCTTCTGCAGAGCTCCAGTAGCTCATTAGCAGTTCACCTCTGAGTCGTGGGCAGAGACATCTCTGCTCTGCACACTCCTCTTCATGCTAGCTTGCAGCCTAACATTGTAGCAGCAGTAGCAGGTAACATAGGAGCTATTCAGCTTTTGGACACTAATGTTTTTCTTGATTAGCTTAATTAGCTTTTTTACAAGCATTGCAATCCACTAACGCACACTCTTGTTCTGCGATCGTCCTCTCTATTTCTCTGAGTCTGGCCTTCATAGCGAGGCTCTGGGGGCGGAGCTTGCTGTTGTGACATAGGAAATCTCACTGTGTTTGAGCCTGCTGTTTGGGTCTACCAGAAATTCACAGCAACTTGAATGCAGTAATACTCAGAAATGCAATTTCACACTTGTTTTTCCCATGATTTGTCCTGTTGTGTCAGAAAAATGCCGAATGAACATGTAGATGACAAGAAAAACACGATTTCCATCAGAGTGGGTATTTAAACTGCTTTTGTAAAGGATCTTTTTTCCTTTGATTCATATGAACTCCCTTTAAAGCTGTGATTGAATTGATAACCTTTCTTTTTTGTTTGATTTTTTATTTTATCTTAATTGCTTTACCTGCAGAAGCTAGAGTTGTTATCCTTTCATAAAAGCCTAATTTTAAACAGTCTATGCTAAAACTCAACTCAACTCAGCTTTATTTGTTAAGCACTTTAAAACAACCACAGCTGAACAAAGTGCTGTACATAACTAGACAAAACAACAAGATAAAAAACAATAAAAAAAAAACAATTAAAACAATGGATAAAATAAAAGCAGAATTAAAAGTAAAATATAGTTTCAATGTTTTTAAAAACTAATTTTAAAAACATAGAAACAAATAACTAAAAACAAACCATAAAACACTAAAACAGGAGCCGTTGTCCTTTCATAAAAGCCTAATTTTAAACAGTCTATGCTAAAAGGTAAAAGGGCAGTTTTATTTGATGAGTGAAGCTCCTGTTGAGACCGTGTGATCACATGTAAAAAGGTGAGAGGATCCCCTTGTGTGTCACTGGAGAGCGCTCTGTTATCTGATCTGTTCAGAAAGGACCTCTTCACTTCCTGGGCCCATGGGCTCTTTGATAGGCCCCTGCAGGCTTAAGGCATACTGTGACAAACATTCTTTCTTCAGAAAAAAGTCAGAGTATTTTTAAGCTCAACATGATATTCACCACTGACACAAGGTTAACGATGAGGAGCTACGACAAATGAACTCCGTCTGTATCTGTTTAGGATTTTAATATTTGCTCTGCAGCCACTGCTAAGATTGATCTTTTCAGAGCCTGCAGGGTTAATGACTCCCCTCAATTTCACCGTCTGCGAGATTTTAACCTTTTACATGCTGTTTCTCAATGACTCATATGGTGCTTGGGTTGTGTTTTTGTAATGCGGAGTGGCAAAGTTCAGTCGTGGCTTATTGTTTATGAAGAGCGACTCTGCGGGGAGCGGGGTGATATACAGCAGCATGGGAGGCCTGACAAATTAAGGAGCCATGACAATGAAAAGCAGATGTGACTGTAAGGGGGGGTTGAGTTACTTTAGGCTATGTGAAAACAGTTAAAGACAGTGTAGTGTGTGTGCTGGTTAATTGTTGGAGACAATGTGGTAATTTGTGAAAAATGACGTTTTTAATATACACCTCTCAAGTGGCCATTTATTTTCAAATTTGTGGATCCGTTAGCCCCACATTTTCCAGATTAGCCAGCTGTTACTTATTTCCACTATCCGTTAATTGTTATTAATATCAGAGATCTGTGTTTACTGACATCAGGAGGACTCAGTATTAAAGGATAAAGGGTATCAAGGTCAAACAAAGGTTTATCACACAGCTTATTTTGAACACACCACCTGTCAAGAAACTCTGCTTTAGTCCAGAGTCCACAAACTCACACCTTCCTCTCAGACTGCCCAACCTGGTCAGCTGAGGGAATCCATTCCTTCTGGTCACTGGGATTATTTACTGGCTCCAGACTTGGCCGAGCTCCAGCCGAGGAACAACAGCAGCTCCTATCCCACAGAGCAGCAGTTTATCTCTTGTGGTGGGTCCAACTGAGCTGATCCTCTCATATTAAATGGATTAGCTGAGGCCTTGTTCTACTGTCAGGAGCTCATGGCAAGAATAGGGATTTAGCATGTTAGCATATTTCTCTGGAAACGTTTCTAAGTGTAAATTCAATTTATGCAGTCATTGAAAATAAATCTAGCAGCCGGTTCACACTGGGGCTTCTACAGTGACAGATTTTTAAAGTGTTTTTTTCACGCTCCTAGAAATATGAGTCCTCAACAACCTCCTGGAGTATTAGCCTCCTTTAGCTCTTGTAGTATCCGTGGGAAACTGTGGCAATACCACTGCTTACAAGCTTTTGGATTTCCCGTGGGAGACGTTCATGACAGGAGCAGGCTAGGTGGGGACCTGAAGGCAGCGTGCTCGAAGATCCTGTTACAGATAGTAAGGTGTTAGATGGGCCTCAGCTACATGCCACATCTCATTTATTTTTAGACATATTTAGCTTAAGATCTGCTGCTCTGTAGCTGAATGTAGAAGTTTGAGAAAGCATCATGGTGCAGCTCTGCATGAAGACTACTTTTGTATTAATCTCCACCAGAAAACAGATGACCCTTCACTCTGTCAGGCTCCTAAACAGGCGCCACACTAATCACTCTGTTTAATAGGAGGTCGTCTGTAGTTGAGCCTTCACACCAGATGAGCTGAGATCAGACTGGGGAATAACAGCCCTGACCTTGGATCAGTCCTGCACTGATAAGCCTGTGTTAGTCTTTTTCTGGCCAGCAGCCTTAACATGGATCTCTGTGATACTGCTGCCTTTGGCAAGAAGTATAACTCTGCTGACAAATCTCAAAAAAATAATCTTTCTTGTGGTGAAATGGTATATTAAAGGGATATTCTGGTGAAAAATTAAGTCAGGGTCAAACACACCGTTACACCGAGTTAGACACCCCCTCGAGAGATGAATATTGTCGACTGCCTGTTTCTCTACTTATACCAACTTTAGTAATGACCGTACGCTAGCAATACCCAGTGGTCTCAGGAGCCACACGCTCAACCAAAAAGCCACTCTATACCACAAATAATGCTCAGAACAGCACCTAACTTCATCATCAGTACATATAGGGTCACAAACATAGAACTAGCTGTCAAACATCTTTTTCGCTTTGCCTGATTTCTTCAGAAAAGAGACCAAACACAACTCACCCACTCTCTTCCAGCAGCCTCTTGTTTGTACAGAGACCTCAGGCAAGTCCATCACAACTGCAGCAGGATGTTGCAGCTCAAGGGAAAACATTTATGATAATTTCCTTATGGAAATGCAATAAGACAGAGATGCTAATGCAGAAGAACTACCGTGTCTGCAGTGCAAAATGACTAGTATGATGATTATTACTTCAAGGAAATGATAAAGTAATGATCATAAATGTTCTTCCCTGAGCTGCATCACCCTGCTGCAGTCGTGATGGACTCGCCTGAGGTCTCCGTAAAAACAAGAGGCTGCTGGAGGAGAGTGGGTGAGTTGTGTTTAGTTGCTTTGAAACTAGAGAGGCAAGCGGTCGGCAACATTCATCTCTCAATAGGGTGTCTAACTTGGTGTTACAGTGTGTTTGACCCTAACTTCATTTCATGCCGGAATATCCCTTTAATCATGTTGATTTCAAGTTCCCTCTTTTTTCTAGTGTTTGATCTTAACCTTGCTAACTGACATAACCGCTTCCCTAACAATAAACTTCTAAGTCTGCACTGTTGCGCTTCTGCACAGTCTTGTTTGCAATCTCAAATGCATGCAGCAGGCATACGGTGTCAAAAATCAATCACTTTATCCTGTGCAGTGTGTCAGTCGAGCAGTTGTGTTGCATGTCAATTTTTTTTTACCACACATTCACACTTTGTTGATTTGTCTCATCAGTCAAAGTCACGTGATCTACAGCGAGCCCCCTTCAGCTCAGCTGCACAGCGCCCAGTATCATTAAAGTGTGTGCAGTCCATTCAGCTCGGCGGGATTGAGGCCACACTTACGCCACAGTGGGCCTTTCCCACAACCTCGAGGCACCTTGGAGGAAGTCATCCATGCCTAACTGTGCTCCTTAATCAAAGGCTGAGTGGAGAAGTTGTCCCGGAGGTTGTCTGCTGCGGGTGCAGCATTACCACAGCACTTGCTCTCCTTTCACAAAGAAACAATGCGGCCTATTGTGAGCAGCCACAAGTGTCTATTTTGATTTAGAAGAAGTGAGACAATGAAAAGGGAACATCTCTGGATCACACACAGGATGCATTCAGGACTGCACACCACCAGAAAATTAACACGACCCTGTGTGTCAGCTTCCTCTCTCAAGATAAGAGACACCACATGCTTTACAGAGCCGGGGCTGATACTAATGTCGATTCTTCAGAGTAGTGTCCTCTTGAAATGTTTTGACAGGCTGAACTTATCTCGGTTTTAACTCATGCAACAAGCTCTACTGGGCCCCTCTGAGATGTCAAAATACAAGTTTAGTATGATAAATGCATGAGGTCACTGGAGCCCTGGATTTCCTCCGATCACAGTGTTAGTGTGACAGCGAGTCTGACACACCAGGCAACCATGCAGGCCTCAAATCATCTAAAAGAGTGTGTTTTATTGCAGTATACAGTGAAAAGTCTGGATGTAGTATAATTTGC